CTTAGGCGAACCAGGCTTCATGAATTATCCGAGATTAGGCCTGGAATCACTGAAAATTTGGGAATGTTAAGCCTTGCGGAAGACAGCCATGAATGGTTTAATCCGCTGAGGAAGAGATGCGACACCCAAATCTTAATCCATACACTGTTCGTCAAAGGTCCGCAAAAAGCTCTTTATTTGTTATCCATTTAAAGCTGCTCAATCTCGAGATACCAAATAACCAGACATGTTCGAATGAAATAATCTGAAGCCTTACAGGGTAAACAAATTGATACCATCACCAGACTCGCGAAGCTTCTTGTTCGCCTTCTGCAAGCTAAATCTCATGAACACACAAGTCGCAACCGAAAGCGCCGAAAAGGCCATCATGAGTAGATTGGCCTTGATGTAGCGCGGTCCATCACTAGCAGGGAAGAAATAAGGGCTCCAGATATTACCAAGCTGGCTGAGGAGATTGATGATGGCAGTGGCGCACGCTCGCTTCTCAGGCGTCTGGTTCAGAGTTGAACTGGCCCAACTAAAGACCATCGCGTTGGATGAGAAACATCCGCAGATGTAAAGGAAAGCGGCCGCGTATCGAGCGGCGTTGTTGAGTGTGGCAACGGAGATGATGAAGCCGATGCAGGCGACTGCCTGAGGGATGGCGATGTGGTAGCCTCGGTTCTTGCGACGATCGCTGGACCATGCTGTGGCGAAGGCAGTGGCCGTGGCGATGAGATAAGGAGGGGCAGTAAGAATGAGGGTAAGGGTGGTGTTGCCGAGCTTGAACCCCTTGACGATGGTGGGAAAGAAGCTGTTGAAGCCATAGGCACTATGGTTGGCCGTAAGCATGATGACCTATTCACTGTTAGCATTGTCATGAGGCGTTTTGGAACAGCCGGACTTACGAAGACCCAAGTTCGGAGATCCTTGACAGCCATCATCAAGCCCGCAAAGACACCGTGATCAGCATCTGGAAGAGAGACACGGTCTCTGTTGATACGCTCAACAGCCACCTTCTGTTCATCATCCGAAAGCAGCCACTTCATCGCTCCGGTCTTTTGTCCAGGGAAGTCAGGCAGCACGAAGAAGGCAACGATAGCAGCCACAAAGCTTCCGGCGCCCTCGAGGATGAATAGCCACTGCCAGCCAGCCATACCTCTAGCGCCCTCAAGTCCTGATAGAACACCAGCGGCAATGAGACCTGAGAAGGCGGTGGCGAGGAGAACACCAGAGTATAGGATCGCGGTTCGAAGGGCAAGCTCCTTGCGAGGATACCAGCAGCTGAACAGGAACATGGCACCTATGCTCGGAGTTAGTGGACATGTTTGTATTCAGCGGAAGGATGAGACATGCCTGGGAAGAAAGGTGCTTCTGCGATACCGAGGAAGAATCGGATGACGATCAAGTGAGTGTAAGTACCAGCACCAGCAGTAGCGGCAGACACAATAGACCACAAAGCAGTCCAGGCTGGGATGTACATCGATGGGCGGGTTCGAGTAAGGAGCATGTTGCTAATATGCGTTAGCCTTTGAGCTTCGAACGTGAAGGTGTCATTTTACCTGGGGAGTTGCATAAGCATGTATCCGACGTTCAGGATTGACACTGCAACATTAAACTGGTTACCCTTGAGACCAAGGTCCTGTTCAAAGCTGCTGAGACGTGCTTGTCTGAAGGTTGTTAGTGGTTGCTACCAAGTTTCCGCAGTACTTGGCGAGAACTCACGCGATATTGTTTCGGTCGAGATAATTGAAGAAGTAAAGCAGCCAGACCATGGGCAGGAGAGTAAAGTCCAGCTTGCGTACCAGACTCTTCTCATTGGCATCATACTGCTCATGCGTCATACCAAGTCCGTTGCTAATGGCCTCTTCAGCCTTGACTGGCATCTCATCGACGTGCTCCGACGAGAGGGAAAGCTCTTGCTTCTGCTCGGTCATGGCGATAGTCATTCTGAAGTAAGATGATCCAAGAACTGTTGGGTTGAACGGATGTCTCGAAGCCAAGCTGAAAACTTTGCTGTGAGCTTTATCGAAGTTAATTCGAGCGCACAAGTCCATCCTTATATCAATTTCGCGTCTTCGTTAGTCCCCTGAGCTAACCACTGCCAAAAAGTCTGATACTGGACTTCCCCAGCCCATTCCCCAAAGTTCATACCCCGCATTTCCCCAGACTCGTTTGTTGAGTGTCTGGACTCGAGGAGCACTCCGTGAGACGGAAGAGTCCTCCTGGAGGAATTGACCAATAGGAACCAGCCCATTTCAATTCTTCCCCACGGGGGCAATTAGCGCGTCTTTCACTCTGGGCGGAACGCGGAGCTGTCCTCTTAGCTTTGAATCAAAACATCTAAGCATCGGCTTCTCAGCATACCTTCGCAAGCCAAGCTCCCACTGGCTCTTCATTTTACGGAAACAATTCATCATGCCATCCAAAGCCCGCGAGCTGTTGCGCAAGTTTACATCATGCGACGTAAGAGAAACCCCGCAAGTATTCCAGCTCCAACTCCCCTAACCATTTTCTAGATTGGAGATGCGCTGGTCAAGCTTAAGCATCCCAGAGGGGGCTTTCTTGATGGCATAAAATTGCGGTCTGTCGACTCGCAGACCCGTATCTTCGGCCCAGCTGTCACAGTGAAGATGGTTGAGGCAAATGATACAAAAGCACCCAAGCTTGACAAGCACTTCGTCGACCATAATGTGAAAGGGGGAGTCATGTATATCCATCAGCCTCCCACTGTTGCCTCTGCTTGCTGGGGTGGCCTCATGTCCACTCGCGCTAAGTATCTGGGTGCGGAGGGCGTTGTCATTAATGGAAGAATGAGGGATGTCAACGAGCATAGAGAGTTCAAGTTCCCTGTACGTATTGTTTCCCCATTCTTACTAAAGTTGAGCTAACTAGGTGCAGGTATTTTCCAAAGGTCAATCTATCTTGGGATCCAACACGTTCACCCGGGCCTCCGAGATCAATGTTCCGCTCCAGTTCAGCGGTGATCTGTGGATAAACCCAGGTGATATCTTGGTTGGAGACGCTGATGGTGTTGTTTCCGTCCCCCCCTCTCTGATAGAGCAGGTCGTGGCTTTGTGTCAAGAGCGAGCTGAGATTGATGAGAAGATGTTTGCAGAGCTTCGGAATGGCGCGGCTATGGGAGATTTGATCCGTACTATTCGTAAAGATAAATAGACCTCACACATGAGATTAGCAATTACTGCTGCATATACTCAGACCAAATGCAGCTTCAAGGCACTGTACCCCCCCTGCAGTAGCATGTAATAGGCTGTTAGGGGTAATTAATGATGACAAGTAGTAGATATAGATATAAACCTCGACCTGATATTCATTCTGTTCTGTTCTAAGTATTTGCGCAAGTGTATCTACAGTTTCTATCTAGCCAAACAATGTCTTTGGGTTATCGACCATCAACATGTGCCATTCTTGGTCCGACAACCACTCCCGCAAACTCCATAGCCACGCTTCATCATCTACCTCCAAGAATGGTGTCTCTTTCATAGCTTCTTCATGACTTCGCACCTTCATCCTCGGGGTATGCGGCCAGTCACTACCCCAAATGACCTGTCGTGGATTCGCCTCAACAAGAGCTCGTACAAGGAACTTCAGATCGCTGTAGTGTGGACTCTGCTCGCTGACGCGGTATGGAGCGCTGAGTTTCACATAGAGAAGACCATCTTTGACGAGTCGTAGGATGGGTGCGAATCCTGGCTGTTGAGTTGGGTCTTGTCGGTACTGAGCTGGAAGCATACTCGGCGCCTTGAGTAGTCCGAAATGATCTGTGATGAGGGGCCGACCTGTTGGGGCAACTTCCTCTCGCACAAACGTCTCCAGGGTGTCCCAGAAGTCAGTTCGAATTGTTGTCATTGTGAGACTCCAAGGAAGTGACAAACGTGTTACCCGTTCAAGGTACGCAAGGAGAGTCTTTTTCTGGAGCTCTACGTCTTCCATCGCGTTATAGTGATAGAGATTCACACGAAGACCACAAATTCCTGCGGCCTGCATATCTTGTATTTCGTCATCAGTAGTATTCTCCGGGTCAATGACACCAACGCCTGATGTACTAGACTTTCCTAGCTGGGTGACGAAAGTCTTGAGCGAAGTACAGTCATCGCCGTACGATAGCCCATGGGTAAGCACGGAATTGGTGATACCGAGTTTCTGTCGGAAGGTCTTGAAGGACTGGACTGTTGCGGCCGGGGGCGTCAAGTGACGGGTTGGGCTATAGGAAAAGGTGGACGCTGGTATAGTGTTAATCAAGGTCTTCAAAGGTATGAAATCAAGAGAACATACGCTCGAAAATATGGTGGTGAGTATCCCAACCGCCGTTTGGGAACAGCTCAGCTTTGGTGGACTTGGTGAGAACTTGGGTCGACATATTTCTTCGCTGCGTGATACCGATTGAACGAGAGATCATTACTGGAAGGATAGGAAGACTTCTTCAGCTTGTGGGCCCAGAACAGTCCTTTCTGGGCCTTTTAGTCAATATTTTGAGCCCATTTCTCCAGCGGCGCGTCGGTCATGGAACCATCCCGATCAGCGGTGGCGGTGTCGGAGCAGTCCATATCTGGTGGATCTAGCCCGATCAGACATGCGCTGGAGCGGAACGGACTACTCCTTGCGCTGGAAGCGTGAGCTCCATAGGAGTAACATGGAGGGCTGCCGGTCAATGATGAATTGACGGTCTAAATTGATTACAGCATTTACAAGCATAGATCGCCTAAAGTACAACGGAAATCCGGCATCTCTAGTATTTTGGCTGCTGATGAAGCCTCCAATGCCTCATGTCCCCTCACCGCTCGGCTCTACTACCACTGGTAGGAAGGCCTTGGTGAACCCCCGAAACCAGTCTGATCATACATCGATTTTATCTGTAGCGGAACAGTGTTCATTGTGGTTATATTTCCATTTGGGACATCAATGTTCAACCTGTGCCTCACGTTATAATCATCGGGAACTTATAAGCATGACCTCATTGATGCCACTGTAATTTCATTCGTGTCAAGTCGGATATACAATCAAGTGCATACCCTTCGATAGACATTTCGTTGAATTTCCAAAAATGCGAACATGCACATCGTATGCCTGTATACCATTAGCGGTTAATTTGTGAAGAACTATTGCCGACATACTTACGGCCCAACTCGTAAAAAGCTCGGTACCCATCCTCGAAAGATCCAAGTACCTCCTTCTGCCCGGAACGCTTCTCTTGCCGTAACTGCCATACCTGTCCCTGCTGTAGACATAGAAGACATGACCCTTGTTTTGACAACATCCAGAGGATTCGTGATGGTCACTGCAACTACAGCTGCTAGAAACGCGGAAAGGGCTTGTACTGCGGGTGTCTCATCTGTCTGGCTATAGTTGATGATACACCCTTTTATGATATCATAGCTTGCAAGCTGCCCTGCCGTTTGGGTCGCAGCACGTGTACAGTTAGGCAGCCATCCTCTCATGTAGGCGCCGATACCTTCTTCCCGTGCCATTCGCAACATTCCGTCACCGACATGACGATAGTTGTGCCTTTGGTGAGATGGAAGTGACCCATCGTGCTGCATTCTCACATTTAGAACATCGGCAAAGTTACCAGCAATTCCACCCGCGAATCCAGAACACCACGCAGTGGCAAGGAGAAAGTGACTGCTGGGAGCAGGACCAGCCCTCGACTTGAGTTCCTCATAGATGCCAAAACGAATGCCCGAATATGTGAGTTGACGCACAATTGATGCTGTTAGACCACTGTACAAGGCTGGTATGCCTTCATCACTGATGATGGTCTTGACGGCCGAAGCAAACGACGGGGCCACATTCACTGTACGTGTCTGCAAACGGACCTGCACACGAAGTCTATCGTGAGTTGATTGAGTAAAAGATGAATTATGGGAAAATTTACCTTGACTGGTAAGTTTGATTAGCTCCGTTCAACGTCAAGAAAACATGTTACTGTACCAAGATCAAGAGGATGAGTGACGCAAGCAGCCAAAGCGCTGGCACTACCGCCGAACCAAAATGGATATTTGATCTTGGTATCCCCTGTGGTTTCTTTGTGTGCTGAATGGAGGGTCATCGTCTCACAACCTCCGGTCCGCTGTATGTGGCCTTAAGTTCTCGATTCGTGAGGCCCAGTATATGGCTCGTCAATCTCAACAATATCATCAAGAGAATGAATAAAGAGTATGCGAGGTCAATCGGTTCCCCATATCACAATTAAAAGGCAATGCTCGGAAATCATGGTACCTCAGTTTTGGTCGGCGGATTGTCTGTTCGCCGATTAGGTGAATCCAAGAGTCGGCGACTGTTCATTTACAAGGATCTTTGCTACGGGCAAATATCACTCACGGTGGGGACCTTCAAGGTAACAGCGCATCAATTAGTCAAATAGAACGTGCCAGAAAACTGGCTGAGCCAATTTTGTGTACCTATGTTCATCAGCTTCAAGTGGTCAATCATCCGAGTTTGTCGGATGCAAGGAGCCTGATACCGGTGTCAACCATGTTTGAGAACATCTCGCCTTAGAGCCAAGGTAAGAGGAATTTCTTTGATTAAAACCTTCTCAGGAGATACTATTAGCTACGTATTGATGCCCTTTTCGAAACTGATATACCGCTCGTCTGGTAAGCATCATTACTAACTCCACCAAACTTCCTGGCCGTGAGCGATGGGAATATTCACAAGAAACAATTATGAACAACATTTACTCGGGCAAATATGCGAAGTTCAAATGCATTTTTGTTTATATCAAGACTGTCGTCTTGCAAGAGAATGTCGAGGACGATAAGTTGGGTAGCTCATCTGGTGGCTCACACACGTGACGCCTCTCTCAGCGGGGTCATCCACTGTCATCTTGAGCAATTGTCAGCTTCACCAAACATTCAGCAACAACAGCCAACCACGTCTTCCCCCTTGACTGACCCCTGTAAACCTGCCATCTCCCATGGCCACGCGTGTCAACGCACCTAAAAAGGTCCGCCTGGCCTGTCGACGCTGTCGGGTCCGTCGCATCAAGGTGGGAACCATTCCCTGCTCTCAGTACCCTCCAGACTAAAGTCCTCTTCTCCTTGGCTCGTGTTAGTGCGATGGTCAAGTACCCGCTTGCACCAACTGCGCGAAGGCTGGGCAGGTCTGCTTAGACGTGGACAGCCAGAACTCTGATGTTGTCATTCCTCGCAAGTGAGTACGCGTCACGATATCGTAGAGTGTTCACTGATAGTTGCAAGTTTCGTCTCTGCCGCCCGCGAAAGGATACGATGGTTGGAAGACATCATCAAAGAGCGTCTACCAGACGTAGACCTCCGGTCTGGCCCTCAAGTTGATGCTTCGGCTGATCCAACAGCGTCCTCCCAAGATGAGAGGATCCCGGAAGATGCAGACGTCTCAACATCGTCAATCCCACCAGTGCCAACAGTCTCACGCAAGCGATCAGCAGAGGCGTCGGGACAATCTGATCAAGATGAATCCTTTCCAGAACGCGCCCATTCTGTCGCCGTCAACCTGGGCATGCTTTCTCTCAATATCGATTCACCTCAAAAACACTACCTTGGCTCAAGCTCGGGGCTTCTCTTCACAAACCTCATCGGAGCATCCCCGCCGAGTGTAGAGTCCACGCCCCAGGGCCCCCAAGGGGATAAGTATGCCGGAGAGCTTGAATGGAGTGATGATGCCGTTGCGCAAGATCAAAACAGGAAGTATCATCGAGAACTTTACAATCTTCTGAAACAAGTCAGTCCCTCCGCCTATAGTGCGTCGATGTACCCTAACTATCGATAGGAACTACCGTCAAAGCATAATGCTCTCGTATTGATACACACATACATCCGTTGGATCCATCCCGACTTCCCCTTCCTAGAGCCCCTCTCTCTATTCAGTGCCGTTGAAGCCATATATTCCTGCCTTGATGGCATTCTGGAATGCGATATCTCTTCTCACGGATGGCCTGCTAATATGCCACCGTTTCGATGGAACGGAAGAGTGGTAGTCCCCGGAGTCTCCAATGAAGAGGGCGTTACAATGTCATCGGTTGCCTTTATTCTCTTTATGGTCTTCAACATCGGGGCCCTGGTCAAGGTGCGCTCACGTAACTACGACTTTCCGCCACAACGCTTTTACCGTGCTGCCCTTCATTTTTCGAAGGAAGGTTTTGCACATATTACCTTGTCCTCAATTCAATCTTTGATGATGCTAGTCATGCATGGTATGCTTACGCCAGCAGAGGTCAACCTGTGGACTTTGGTGCATCTTGGGCTTGCATATTGCGTTGAGACTGGTATACATCGAGAACAAAGCCAGCCGAACCCAGACCACTTTGCCATGCTGCAAGTCAGACGCTTCACCTTTTTTACGATCTACTCCCTGGATAGGTAATGCTGCACAAGCTCGGACATTTGAGATCATGCTGACTGTGTCAGGTCCATTTCATCAATACAGGGAAGGCCGCTTGGCTTCAGGGACGAAACATTCGACGTCAAGATACCAGAAGCGTTATCGGATCCCGACGAGAATATGCAGGGGCCACTTCCGCCATCGTTCGTAACTGCAGTAACCCATTACTCGTCATATCATTTCAGATTGGACCGTATCGTGTCCGACATTAAGCTTCACCTGTATCACCTGCCCGGTGATTCTAGCTTCTTCCCATGGCCGGACAATCCCACGGAACAACAGACCAGGATTCAGCAGACTTTGCAAAATTGGTGGGAGGAGGTCTCAAACGATGCATTTGAGTATCCCAGTCTTGATAACCGACAACGGGAAGTCTGGAAGATAAAGCTCGGACTGAAGTACCATACAACGATGGTCTTACTCTTCCAACCATCCCAGGTCATTCGGCAACCCGCTTCAGAGGCGCTTCAAGTCTGCTTTGATAGTGCAGCTGGTATTCTAGACGGTTATCAAAGGCTCCATGATCTTCACGGCCTTCATTTTGGATGGAGGGCGGTACAGAATATTTTTGCAGCTGGCGCGACCCTGATCTACTCATTCTGGACGTCGCAAGCTGTTCGGGAGAAGGCATCACCAGAGACAATGTCAAAGAATTTGCGAAGCTGCTCTACCCTCCTCACAATCGGCGGCGAGTGGTGGCCATCCGCAAGAAGTGGTCAAGCCAGCTTTGGCTCAGTCGCAGACTTGACTATGAAGAGACTGTACATGGCGGATGCATCTAACAAAGCTCCGCGACTATCTCTACAGCAAACCGCTTCCGGTAGACCAAGAGACGGAGCCGACATTGGAGCAACCGGACCTCAGAATCAGCCTCAATTCTCTGACGAGAATGGCCAAGCAGTGGCGATTGACACAAATGCAGCGTGGCAAAACCTGGATCTGGATGCTGGACACAACCCAGACCAATTTTACTGGCCGTCAATTGAGGGCGGATTCGACCCGGAAATCGAAATGTTCCTAGAGGACTTCAACAGATCCGATTTCACCTGGAGCTTTCCACTTAATGACAATCAAGATCTAGACCTCTTTGGAACGGACTCAAACCCCGGCTTCTGAGCTTGGGTGCTGTATCACGATACTGTGAATTGCGGGGAACGGAGCAGTCCGTCAGCGGCGAGAAATGGGGTGCGGACTACTCCAAGCTTCCTCGGCTACCAGATGAAGATTTGTAGGGACCGGTTTGTGCGATAACAAATAAAAACATGCCGATTACCATGCAAGGGCAAAGAATTATTTGACGCCAATTTCTATGCATATTCTGCAACTATTGCAAGAATGGCGCTCACAGTAACACGACTTAACCTGCGACGGGTTTGCGCCGCCCGACAACGGCCATTGGCACAAGCGCGACGATGCTTAGCGACGCATTCATCTCATGTCGCATTGAGTCCTCTTGAGCCAGTCAGTAACTCTGCTCATCTCTTGATGCCAATTGCTAATTGGGCCACAGTACAATGCTCTTGATTATACCTCGCGACTCGAATCCCTCCGCCGCGTCCAAGGCGCTAATAAACGACCCTTGACCCTCTCCGAAAAGCTCCTCTACAGCCACTTAATCCACGACAACGATGATTGGGTCCTCGACCAAATAGAGCGAGGAAAGACAATCCTCCGCCTACGACCCGACCGCGTTGCTTGCCACGATGCGACAGCGACAATGGCTCTTCTTCAATTCATCAGCGCTGGTCTGCCCAGAGTCCAAGTACCCACATCCGTGCACAGTGATCATCTCATCGTGGCAGAGTACGGAGCGAAGAAAGACCTTGAGCGCGCTGCGGGTGATCATCGCGAAGTTTATGCCTTTTTGAGCAGTGCCGCAAAGAAATATGGTATTGGGTATTGGAAACCTGGTGCGGGTATTATACACACTACTATCTTTGAGAACTACGCTTTCCCGGGTGGTTTGTTCATTGGTACAGACTCACATACTCCCAACGCTGGCGGAATGGGTGTTCTTGGTATTGGAGTTGGCGGCTCCGATGCTGTCGATGCCATGGCCGGAATGCCATGGGAGCTTGTCTGTCCGAAGGTCTTGGGCGTTCGGCTTACAGGAAGCTTGTCGGGATGGGCCTCTTCCAAGGACATTATCTGCAAGCTTGCTGGCATTCTTACTGTCTCTGGTGGAAAGGGCAAGGTCATCGAGTTCTTCGGTCCGGGTGCTGAGACATTGGGCGCCACAGCCATGGCGACTGTTTGCAACATGTCTGCTGAGGTTGGATCAACATCATGCATCTTCCCTTACTCACAAGCCATGGCACGATATCTTGCAGCGACTAAGCGAGAAGATATCGCACGCTATGCTGACGGTTTCACTGAGACATTGCTTACTGCCGACCGTGGCAGTGAGGACTACTACGACCAGGTCATTGAGATTGATCTCTCAACGCTTGAACCTCACATCAACGGCCCCTTCACCCCCGACCTCTCACATCCTTTGTCCCAGTTCAAGACACGAGTTCAGGAGAGCTCCTGGCCCTCTAGGATTAGCCATAGCATGGTTGGCAGTTGCACGAACAGCTCATACGAGGATCTCGAAAAGGTCTACGACTTGGTTCAACAGGCCAAGGAGGCAGGCATCGACCGGCCCAGGACACCGTTTATGGTAAGCCCTGGCAGCGAACAGATTCGTGCAACTGCAGAGGAGCGCGGTATCCTACCTAGTCTAAGGGAGGCTGGAGCTGTTGTTCTCAGCAACTCTTGCGGACCCTGCGTTGGGCAGTGGGACAGGAAGGACGTGGATGTTGCTGGAGCAGAGGACAACTCGGTCATTTCCAGCTTCAATCGCAACTTCACTGGTCGCCATGACGGAAACCCCGCGACACATTCCTTTGTCACATCTCCGGAGATCGCCACTGCTTTCGCTTATGCCGGCGATTTATCCTTCAATCCCATGCACGACACCATTCCCATTGACGAGTCCGGCAGCTCCAAACACTTCCGATTCACACCACCTGTAGCCAACGAGCTTCCAGAAAGCTTCATCGCTGGTAGCGATCTGTTCCAGCCACCTGTTTTAGAAGATACCTCAGATTACAAAGTTGCCATCGATGAAGGCAGCGATCGCCTGGAACTTCTGACGCCCTTTGAGCCCTGGAAGCCAGGCCAAGCAGAAAACATGGAAGTCCTTATCAAGGTCTCAGGAAAGTGCACCACCGATCACATTTCTCCCGCGGGGCCATGGTATAACTATCGCGGTCATCTGTCCAACATCAGTCATAACATGCTCCTCGGCGCAACGAATGGATTCCTTCCCGATGCCAGTTCACTAAGCATGACTGGCAAGACACGAGATCCTACGGACGGTACCATCAAGTTCGTTCACAAGGCAGCGAGGACAATGAAGGACGCTGGTATTAGATGGTGTATCATTGGTGACAACAACTACGGCGAAGGTAGTTCTCGGGAGCATGCTGCGCTAGAGCCCAGGTTTTTGGGCGGTGTGGCAGTCATCGCAAAGAGCTTTGCTCGAATCCATGAGACGAACTTGAAGAAGCAGGGGATGTTTCCGTTGACGTTTGCAGACCCAGCAGACTATGACAGGATACAGGAGGGTGATGTAATAAGTTTACTGGACGTTGATGGCGATGCGCTTCAGCCGGAGAAGCAAGTTATGATGAAGGTGGTGAATACGGATGGGACTGAGTGGATGGCGCAGCTGAATCACTCATATCATACCCACCAGCTTGCCTGGTTACGTGCCGGAAGTGCTCTAAATCACGTCAAGAAGACGATCTTAGGCAGCGCGGCTTGAGGGATGCATCGTGGGTTAGGATCCGGTGGGTCAGGCATTGGCGTTGAGCATGTATTCAGTTAAAGTTGTTGGTGATAGGCATAAATAATCCAATACTGTAACTTTAAGTCTAAAAGAAACGTAAATTACTAATTTTATGCTCGTTTTGACCTCCACGGAGTTCCTTTTCACATAAGCTGGTCATCCGATGTGGAGAAACATAAGCAACGTAATCGCCATGATCTTACCAATCGTTGAGGACTAGGCCCACCGCTGGCTGTTCATAACGTTACTTACGAGACAACCTACAATACACTGGGAACCTTGATGTATGTATTGTGATATTCCTTAAATAGCACAATATTTCTCAAAAACCCTTACTCACATATCGCCAACCAGTCTTTCACAGCACCCGGAGTCATACACAACACTATCTGGTCTCAATCGCACAAGATGAATTGGCAAGACATTGCCAAGGAATCTCAAGCTAAAGTGCTTAATTCCATCCCTAACCGCTGGCGATTAGATGTCAATCAGTATCAAAGCCTCAAAGATGTGACCAGTGTGCCCTACACATGCGGCCTGCTCACTGAAGAGCAGCTCGAAATCACGGAACTCACAGCCACAGAAATAGTCAAGAAAGTTGAGACTCGCGAGCTGAAAGCAGTGCAACTCTTGGAGGCATTTGCTGGACGCGCTGCTATCGCGCATCAACTGGTCAGCAATCTAACTACATAACGGTAATTGTCTAATGGCAGTAGGTCAATTGCCTGACCGAATGGTTCTATGAAGAAGGCCTCGCACAAGCAAGAGAGCTTGATGAAGCGCTAGAGAAGGGTGGTCATCTGAAGGGTGTACTGCATGGTGTTCCTATCGCTCTCAAGGTAAGCTATCTACCAGCCATAATCCCTTACCTACACTCACTCTCGCTGCTAAGGATATCCATTGCGTTGCAGGCCATGCTTCGACAATGGCTTTCGTCTCAGGCAGGAACAATATTGTCAGCCAGGATTCCGCCGTCGTTGCTGCCTTGCGAACTGAAGGTGCCATATTCTTCTGCAAGACCACCATGCCTCAATCAGCTATGGCAATCGAGACGGTCAGCAACCTCTGGGGTCGCACGTTGAACCCTTCTAATCGGGACCTGAACGCCGGAGGTAGTTCTGGAGGCGACGCTGTCCTGGTAGCTATGAAGGGTACACCTCTTACGCCCTCGACTGATCTCGGCGGATCGATTCGTGTACCAGCTGCTTTCAATGGACTCTATGCTCTCAAACCAACAGCTGCACGAATCCCAAAAGGTGGGATGCCGGACCTTGGTCAGAGTCTGATTCAAGTGTCCTTTGGACCTATTTGCCACTGCATTAAGGATATGGAGTTACTAACCCGAGTCATCAATGCTCATCCTCACAACAGATTCGATGTAACTTGCGCGCCTGCTCCATGGAGGAGGATCGACGCCCCAGAAGGGAAGCTGAAGATTGGGCTGATGAAATGGGATGGTGTGGTGAAGCCTCATCCACCAATTCTTCGAGCATTGGAGCGTACCCAACAGCTCCTGATAGCAGCTGGACACGAGGGTAAGTCCAGATTTGTTGCGAACTAAGGATGTTATAATTAACTTCTGTCTTAAGTTGTTGACTTCAAGCCGCCCTTCGACTGCTGGCAAGCTTTGACGACCACCGTAAGTACCTCTTATCTAACCCGGTATAATGACTGATATGATTCAAGTTCGACATATACTATCAAGGTGGGGCTGATGGGACCATCGCTACACTTGAAGAGTCTGGTGAACCCATAATCCCAGCGTTTGCCGACTTACTCAAGGTCTTCAATGTTCGGAAGCTTCCCGCTTCAGAGATTCTACAGGTAGGCCGAGACACAAAAGCTTGTTGCTTCTAGTCTGACTATTAGTAGTTGAGTGCCAAGGTACGAGAGTACAAAGAGCAGTTCCTGATAGCATGGGATAAAACAGCCAACGACGGCCGTCCTATCGACGTCTTGATATGTCCTCCGGCACCAGGAGTTGGCTATCCTCATGACTTCAATACATACTGGGGATACACTTCGCTCTTCAACCTGATCGACTATCCTGCTGCGATCTTGCCGATACCAGGACTCAAGGTCAGCTCTGAGCAGGATCCTCTTGATTTGGAATACGTACCGTTGGACACTAATCCCTATGATAAACCCAACCACGAGACTTGTACGTAAGGCCCTTATGTTACTACACATACGGATGTTAATTATGCATTGTTTATAGATGACCCCAGCCTTTTCGAGAAACAAGCAATAAGTATACAAGTGGTCGGTCGTCCTTTCGAAGATGAAGAACTCATTCAAGTATCCTCGAGTCTCGATGCATTGCTTCGCGGTCTCTAGAAGCAACCTCTGCTTAATTACGATTAAAGGGCTGAGCTCAATTACATATTGGATATTGGCTTGATCACTTGTTGCTAGCAAATGGATAATTGTGTAGTAAAGAGTGGAAATACTCTCTGATCTCTATAGCATTATATCGTATTAAGCATGAACTTGTAAACTGGTCGCCTCTGTATAGCCCCACCGTGGTATCGATCACTTTCCCTGCTTCCGCCGCTAGTCAAAAAATCCATCTCGTATGTTGAACATCCTCAAGCGCGGTTGAAACCACCGCTCTCCCGGATCCTGTTCAAAAACTTGAGAACAGCCGGTGTAACCTCCTCAGGCCTCTCCATCATAGGCGCATGTCCAACACCCTTGACAGCAACAACCTCGCCATCCTCAAAGTTCGACGCGACCCAGCGAGCTTCCTCAATAGGGTCAGTCCAGTCAGGATCGGCATCTCCATAGACAGCCAATACTGGAGCCTTGACTTTGCTGATGTACGGTGCGACAACAGCGTGGTCGGTAGATAGTGTAGCGTGGAATGCCTTCCAGCGACCAGGGCCTGTCAACATTGCGATGGATCTGTCAACTCGCTCTTGAACCTTATCACCAAGACCGGGCCAGAGCTTAGGGGCGTATGACTTCCAGATCATAGGGCCGATAGGCTGACGCATCGATAGGCGGAAGAGACTAGCCACAAGCTTGCCAGTTCCGGGACGAAGGAATGCTCCCAAGAGAATAAGGCCAGCGACCTTTTCGGGATGGCTTCCAGCAGCGATCGTAGCAGCAGCACCAGATAGAGAAGCCCCGGCTAAGACAGCGGGTCCTCCACCGTAAGCGTCAATCAGGGTAATGAGATCGTCAGCGGTGGCTTCGTCGCCATAGCGGTTAAAGGTAATGCTACTATCGCCATGACCTCGGAGATCAACCATAGCGACTCTGTAGCCAGATTGGCGAAGCTCGGTGGCTAGAGCGTCGTATGCGTCGCGAAAGTCTCCCATGGCGGGGGAGCAGATGACAAGCGGGCCTTCACCAGCGATGTCAACGGCGAGCTTACCACCGTCTGTTTCAATAAATGTGACAGTCATTGTGAGTGTGATTGGTCGGTTATGTAGTAAGTGTAAGTAGAGAGAAGTTGTTGAGCGTTGCGAATTTTAGCCTGTAAGTCTTGAAAATGATGTATTTATGAGATTGTTGATGATGAATATTTCCAACCATAAGCAGGACAACACAAGATATATATAGCCAGGCTCGAATCCTTTCCACGAATGCTTATGACTACTCCCGTGCCTCTACGCTGCATTTTCGGGTCTGTAGGGCGAGCTTCGACCGATAACTCGATTAGACAAGACGTTGATTGGCTCGCACAGAAGCACGAGAAAATGCCGAAACTAACGCGAGACCAAGGATTCGGCCGGACAGCTTTCGCTCTGTGTGATTGGTTATGTCAACTGCCAATGCTCGGTCCTTCTATTTTCCGTTTCGGTAATCATTGCTTTGGCGTGATAAGATAAGGTCTGCCTTTTCTTATCTCTCGCTTATCTTGACTGCAGGGTAGTGAATGTGATATTTTTGTGTGCTCTGGGACTTCTCGATAGCAACAGTGCCTCCAATGTAACTCTTTGTTCGATAACTTGTCTAAGATCATCTTAGTCCACATCGGCTTATTACCCTTACTTGCAGGTTTCGACATCTCTGCGAGAGCTATCTCACACGACTGACTACCTTGTTATGATCTTGGCGATCTTGATACAGATCGACTACAAAATATGTTGATGCCAAATCACGAGTCAATTTTCGGAACGTGTGAAGAATATGATCTTCTTTAATATGAGAGCAGATAAGTACTAATATGTCTATTAATCAAGCTTAGATCTCAGGAAGTTTCAATCCCACCAATCTCTCACAAGCATCAATAACCCGTTCTTGCAACTCAACCTCACTACACTGAGGAATGGGCTCGGCTAGCTTCCTCTTAGGCTCAAAGTATTTTCCCGTCAAGCTTTGATCGTAATCTCCTTCAGCCAACATCACATATGTATCAACTCCATCCTCCAGCTTGTCAGGACCATCCTCGCCTCCAAGTTTCGTCGCAACCCATCCTGGATGAACAGACATGACGGAAGTGTGCTTGAAGCGCCTGGCAACTGCGTTTGCGAGCAACATGACATGGAGCTTCGAGTCGCAGTATGCGGGAAAGTCCTGGAATTGAGAGTCGCCTCGCTCGAGCCAGAAAATATCCTTGACTCTCGTATCGGCCTCGGCGTGTAGTTGAGACGCGATATAAATGAGTCTCTTGGGAGGTGTTAAGAGACAAGTGAGGATATAAGGCGCGAGCACATTCACGGCGGTCTGAGCTGGTATACCGGTGTCGGGAGTCTTCCGGAATGGTCCAGCCATCATGCCAGCATTATGAATAATTGCATCGAAGGTTCCGACGGCGTTGACTTCCTCGGCGAGCCTTTTTGTCTCCGAAACGAGTGTCAAATCCGCTGCAAACGCACCAGCTGCCCCAGGACAATTTGCTTTGGCCTCTGCTGCGCGTTGAGCGTTGCGCGCATGAAGATAGACGGTATGATTGCGCTTGACAAGTTGCCGCGCAGCTTCAAGGCCTAAACCATCGGCGGAACCAGTTATGAGAATGCGAGCCATCTTTATAAAGTGGATTGAAAGTGACTCTAGTTTTTGAGCAAAAAGTTCATGGGTTTTCTTGTCAATTTGTAAGTATATGTCAATGAGAATACGCGAAAATTCTTTGAAACTTGGCACCGAGCTCCGTGCCGCGAAAACGTCAACTACCGGCATTCAAATATCCAGATTTGCTCTTAGCGTCGTTCTTGAACCCGCCTTGAGGTGCAACCTCGGCGTTGCTAAGCTCGTTTCAGTTGACGATTTCCGCGCGAGCTGTGGATAGCGGATATACCGGACTTTGAACACTACCGGGAATGGGTCTGGCGGATGAAACCCAACGCCGAGATGCGGCTATGGGCCTGCCGGATCATTTTGATCACCGAGATACATAGATAAGGGAACCTATCTTCAAGATTGGCCTTGCGCTGCATTGATCGTGTTTTTAGTATCTTGATGTACCATGTGGGCTCTATCTAATTGCGGTCTTCTAATCGGTCATGTCTATCGTCTTTTATCTACAGCTTCAACTGACTTCCCTTCCGATGATCAACGAGCTGCCTCAACACCAATGCCGATTTCTTCGGCGTCCGCTCCAAAGTCTCGTAATCTGTAAAAGTCACTCCAAACCTTGGCCCATAGCCATCAGACCACTCAAGATTGTCCATCAACGACCACGCAAAATACCCCTCAACAACAGATCCATCTTCACCAACCGACCTTCCAATCGCGTCAAGATGATCTTCAAAATACTTGATCCTATACTCATCCTGCACAGATTCCTCACGCGTCATCTTATCCTCCCCAGGGCAAGGACATCCGTTCTCTGTGATGATGATAGGTTTACCGTAAAGACGATATACCCGCGTGAGATGTTTACGGAAGAGGTCTGGGCAAGATCGGAGCCAGTGTAGACCACTTTCTAAACCGACAGGGTCGCCGGCCTTGTTGGTTTGGAGCTCGTCAAGGTTGCCGATGTAATCTGTGTCCGGTGCTGGAGAGGACTTGTGGCGTGCGAATTGGGAGGTATAGTAGTTCATGCCGTAAAAGTCACTTTCTGCTGAGCGAAGAAGTTTGAGATCATCGGATGTGAACTGTGGGAGGCGGTCTTTGAGCTGATCGCGCATGCACTTCGGGTAATCTTGTCCCAAGCTTCGCGAAGTTAGCATGTCATGAACAGATAGCAGAGAAATCTGGACAAGGCTCACAAGATGGGGTTGGCAAACCAACCGATATGGAACTGCATCCGTCTCTCAGCAGCCTCACTGTCTCGCGGGTCGCTACTATCCCATGGCTCGTAGTAATCTCCATTCAATGAGATTCCTATTTGGCCTTTCTGTGATGGACGGAAGTCTTGGTTGTAGGCTGCGACAGCACGAGCGTGGCTCATGATGAGAGCCTTGCCAACGATCCATGGTTCCGTTGAGGTGTCGCCTTCTGTCGACTGAGGATTGATACTGCTTCGCCCTGGAGCATTTCCTCCAGTCGCATAGCCCTAGAACGTATTGTTAGCAATTGACTGTTATCTTCCCGAAAGAACAACTTACGAATATCGAGACGATCCAAGGCTCATTGAGTGTAATCCAATGCTTCACCCGATCCCCAAATCTCTCATAGCAAAGCCTCGCATATCTCTCGAAATCCATTTGAGACTCTTCAACATCCAACCATCCACCATACCTCTCATGCAATGCCTGCGGCAAGTCCCAATGATAAAGAGTGACCCATGGCGTGATACCTCTCTTCAGACACCCGTCAATAACCCTATCATAGAACGCAATACCAGCTTCATTAATAGCATCATCTCGTCCACCAAGAGGAATAACACGAGACCACGAAATCGAGAAGCGATACATATCAGATCCATATCTCTTTAAAAGATCAAGGTCTTCTTCAAGTCGGTGATAATGATCGCAGGCAACATCGCCACTTGCACCTTTCGTTCGTGTCGGTTCAAGATGGCAGAAGACATCCCAGATTGAAGGACCGCGACCATCTTCGGCGACGGCACCTTCAATCTGGTAAGACGCCGTTGCGAAGCCAAGTTTGAAGTCTTTAGGTAGAGAAGGCATTATCGTCTTTGAAGTCAACACAAAGGTCTCTAGTGACCAAAAGAAGTTACATACTTCGGCATTCTTTATACCGTGGAATTACGGGCCGATAAGATAATACCCAACTCGTTATCATTGTAGATCACGGCGAAATTCCGATGATCCACTGAGTAGTTTCCCCGACGGTGAGGGGTTTCTTCGAATAGCGCGATGCTCTATTTCCCCGTTTTCCCGTAGCTTCATTGTGCAGACCATTCCCCACGGGGAAGTTGGAGGCTAAGTCGAAACGGGGTTTTTTCGCTGTAACCTTGGTCATGGCATGTTTCTGAACCGAATCTTTCTCTCTTCAGTGTTGCATTGTGTATATAAGTATGCTAGAGATCGCCGAGTTTATCACAAGACTGTAAACACATCATCAGTCAATCTTGACGACTCTTCTTCACCTAGTTTCACGGCAGCTGTAATAACGTCAACATGGCTCCGAGAGCGGCGTACGCCACTGAAGATATTCAGTCTCCCATTGACCTCACCACCGTTCCACCGTTTTGGAAACGCAAGAATGGCATTCTTTTGTACTTCTTGCTTACTTCTTCGCTGTTTGCCAGCATGGCTCTTGGCATTGACGGGTAAGTCCACTCCCAACCGGCAAGTCGCTACGCATACTGACTCATCGTGTAGCTCTATGACCAACGCCCTTCAAACCCTCGAGAGTTGGCAAGACCGCTTTGGCCATCCCACTGGCTCGAAACTTGGCTTCTTCGGTGCCTCCAACGCCATCGGAGGTGTTATACCGTTCATCTTCCTTGGTTGGATCAGCGATGTCGCCGGTCGTCGTGTCCCAACTGCGATGGGATCGGTCATCATCATCGCTGGTGTCATGGTTCAACTCTTTGCGACCTCGCTCAATATGTTCATCGGCGGCAAGATTGTTCTCGGAATTGGCTCCTCGCTTATTCAGATGGGTGCTCCAGTCTTGGTCACCGAGCTCTCGCATCCCAAGGAGCGTGTCCAAATCACCACGCTTTACAACACCAACATTGTGCTGGGCTATGTCATTGGTGCATGGGCGACTTACGGGTGCTTTCGCATTCCCAACCAATGGTCATGGAAGCTCCCCACTCTGGTTCAAGTTGTTCCATCCGCATACCAGCTCATTCTCATCTTTTTCTGCCCGGAGTCGCCTCGTTGGCTGATCGCAAAGGGCAAGGTTGACAAAGCTCGGGAGATTCTGATCAAGTACCACGGTGAAGGCGATTCCGACAGCGAATTGGTCAAATTCGAATGCGCTGAGATTCAGCAAGTCATTGCTGAAGAAGCTGAGCAAAACATGACATGGAAGGAGTTCTTTTCATCTATCCCCAACCTCAAGCGCATCGCACTATGCTTCGCTACGGCGCTGTTCAGTCAGAGCTCTGGCAACCTGCTTGTCTCCAACTACTTGACACAGATTCTGAAAGACACGGGTATCGAGGCGGAGAAGGACATCACTCTCGTCAACGGCATGGTTACTCTCTGGCAGTACATCGTTGCTATCACCATGACTCTTCTGGTTGACAAGTTCAAGCGCCGCACTTTCTTCCTCGTGGGATCCGGTGGTGTTCTTGTCACGTTCATCATGTGGACCATCGCCGCCAAGCAGTACCTTGAGGGGTCCTTGGCGGGTGGGCGAGTCGTGTTGGCCTGCATCTTCCTATTTCAAGGCTTCTACACTTTCGGATGGACAAATCTGGTCGTTACTTATCCTCTCGAGATCGTCACATATCAGATGAGAGCCAAGACTTGGGCATTCGTACTGCTCACTATTCAGGTCTCCTCTATCTTTGGTGGCTACGTCAACCCGATTGGCCTGGAGGCTATTGGATGGAAGTTCTACATCTACTACTGTGTCTGGGTCGCTATCATCTTCTTGGTCGTCTACTTCTTCTTCGTTGAGACATCTGGACCTACGCTGGAGGAGCTTACGTATCTGTTTGAGGGGAAGGATGCGAAGCAGGAAATGGTCAAGGAGATTGAGGTTAAGAAGGAGGAACATGACTTCATTCGTGAGAAAGAAGTCTGAAGGGCATCATGAAGGTGGCAAATATGATAGTAATATTACAAAGACTTAGTGTATCAATGAAGAAGTATTTCGCAATGCATCGGAGGCTTTGGAGTCCAGTCTCGTGAGCAGATCAAGAAGGACTGCAAAATCACTGCGAGCTCTCGCGGCAATTGGTGAGGAGCCATTTCTGTGAATGATCTCCAGAAGACTCGCACCAGTGAGTCGTATCTTCTCGACCTTGGTAGGGACATCTCATTAGCTTCATTAATTACTTGGTGTGTTAGTGGACTTACATAGGGTTCACCATTCACTTGGAGTGACCAAAACGGAGCTTCTTGGATCACCCTCAGCATATCTCTTGCAATTTCCGTCTTGCGCAAATCCGAGTGCCCGATGTCCGATTTATAATACGGAAGATTCTCCAACTTTTGCGTTATCACCATTCTTAGACAATGGATGGAGACTTGAAGATTAGCGCACTGGATCAGGAATTGTTTGGTGGTTTCCCTAGACTCATCCGCCAAGGCAGCGAACGTATACGACTGCAGATATGGTGGCAGATCATCAAGACAGGTGATGAAACGGACATAAAGAGCGTCCAGCCGATCCTTTTCTTGCGCGCTGATCAGCGGTTGAAGATTCGACATGCTGAGATCTTGTTGGTTTCGGTCCTGCATTAGTCGCAACTCGAGGAGCAGATCAGATGCATTCTGCCAGAGTCTTAGATTGGCGTTGAAGCCTTCGATGCATGTAATCCGCACGACATCAGAATTCGTGACGAGATTACCAGGCGAGAGAACCGGAGCTTCATCTTCAATGCCAGAAGGATAGGACGTGGTTATTCCAGACTCGAATGAGAATTTGTGGATCGTGATGGGTCGGTTGTTCAGTATCGCAGCCGATTTATCGCCCATATACACAATCCAGAAAGCTCGACGTCGCAGCTCAGCTTCAATCGGTTGCAAGCCCTCAAGCGAGGTTTCGAGGTTCAATTGCATAACCTGCGCAAGTCGCGTGGCTTCTCCAAAGATGTGCCACGAATACTTGGGCTTTCCCGCTGCATGGAGACAATTCGAGTGAAAGTAGCGAATTGTGATTGAGTTCGCATTCGGATTCTCCAACTCCGCTTCAAGATATTGATTCAAGCATGATCTCGAAGCATTGAGAAAAATATCCGCTACGGATTGACCCTCTGGGAATAAATCTTTCGGTAATAAAAAGGCTGCTTCGGCGCAAACAGCAGTGATCAAAGTAAACGTCGTCTCCGGCCAAAGCTCCAAAACCCCTGTACTAAAATTCTCAGAAGGGTACTGCCCAAAGTACGAGAGCGAGTCCCTCAAACTCGGCTCATGAACCAACGGCGTAAGCGGATAAAGATACTCGAAAAAGAGATCAAAGCATCGCGTAACAAATTGCTGCAGATCATTCGTAATGAACGCTAGCGCTCGCGATAAATTCTGCCAGCGCTGGTGACTCGTTACATCACCGCTAACCATCAAAGGCGGCGAGAGTCCGAGATCGACAGTGTTGGTTTCCCATTGTGACGATTGGGGAGGCGGTAATTCCGCTGTGGAACCGGCTGGTTTTCTGGGGCGGATCTTGGGGCCGCGACGGGCGAGGGGGAGATTGAAGGTGCATTGTGTGCCTGACTCCCTGCAGCTCGTGCAACGCTCGCCTTCTGTAAAGTCGCACTAAGAATCCGTCAGTGAGTGAGTTTCGCCGATGGGCGAGGAGAATAGACTTGCCTTTGCTTTTCGCCGACGACAGCGGTCACAGGCTCTGTTCTTCTGGGCTGGCGTGTTTGTACCGGGGGATTGAGGGGAATCTGGTGTGGGGCTTGTCATCGTAAGAGATTGAAGAGGCAAAGAATGGAAGGATCAAGACGGGGAAATGCAGCGGTAAAATACTTAGGTTTTTCTTGTGAGGTGACTTTTCTCCGTGTCGATCTATTCCTCTTTCTGCTTGTCACCCGACAAGCGGGGTTGAGTCTGGGGAAAGAAACCATTTCTGTCTTGATCTAAGGTCACCGAGCCTTCTTTGTCAAGCTAAAAGATGGCACAGAGTATGAACATGGTGTCTGAGTGGTGAAGAGGGAGGATGCCACAAGGCTACAGACAATAGGATAGATGGTATGCGTTCAACAGCCCAGATATCACACAATTAATACCTACCTTGAACCAAAAGCCCTTTCACTATAAAGTGCTATACGTCTAGTAAAGATAAGAATTAAAAACTATACCAAGGACTTCAGCTGGGGATGCATAACGAGCCAGTGCAATGCTGTGCAGTGCGTCAGCGACGTCAAACGGGACATCAAAGTTAGGGTCAGGAACGTAACCCGGCCACCACAGAAACAGACCGAATTAAGAAGACACGACCGACTCATCAGTACAGTTGGTATGGAAATCAGATTCCTTCTACACAGGAACGCAGTAAGCTGCTCGACCCCAAGTGCAAGACAACTACTCACCTAGAAAGCAGTTCGATTCCTAGTTTTGTCCTTGAACATGAATACATATATGGCCTTTATACGTCTGTCGGTATGTTCACCCGGATGGCGGCGGCACAGCTACGCGTATGCATGCGTGTTCCACCACCCAAAGCAAGAACAAAGGCTGTCAGTCGTATCTCTATACAGACATTATAACTCCCTTCTCTCGTGTGACGAGACAGACACCCATAGCTACCTTACCTTGTTGTAAAACACTTGGTAACTGTTTTCTACTCGCTTGGCACCTACCATAAGAGATTCCACTTCATTAAGGCACTGAACTGCACTGCACTGCACTGAACTGAACTGAACCTCGACAAATCATATTTCAGCTTGTTGAGTTTGCCACTGTTCATGACCTGCTGCAGAGAGGGCGCCTTCACTTCCTGCCTCCCTCAGCGGCCTTTCACCTCCTGAGCGCGAGCTCGGCCTGTTTTCACATGCAGCGTATTAGCGAGGACAACTCTCAGACATCTACTCTTTCGTGCTTTGCCTCTCCAACTTTCCTTATCCTACCACCTCTTCTTTTTCTTTTCATTAGGAAGGGCTTCTTGTTTCTGCGCTGCAAATAACGCCGCCTGGAGAGTGTTTGTTTACCCAACGTCAAGTCAAGCATACCCTTCCTTTACTCACCGATGCCGTGCCTTGTTAACATCAACCGCAGAACTGACCGTCGGGTTCTTCTCCTTCAACGCGTCCACTTCCTTGGTCCACTTACTCCCCGAGAGGAGGCTGCAGGCGTCAAGCATCCGAGCTTCATTCACCGTTGCCCAGCGCCAACCTTTGATCTGCTCAGCATTTAGCGCAACCTCACCTTACCTTAGACACCAATCCCAGCGCTCCTTGTAAACGCCTGCCAAAGTGCGAAAACGATTTCTCAGTCTCTAGGAACAAACACGTCCCCCCTCTCAGAGATCTAGATTGATCAACGCAGGCCCTCAAACACCATTTTCCCAACCTTTCGCAGATTCCGCGTTTGCAGCAACACCTCAATGGATAACCAACGGGATATAGTCTTGGCGCCTTTGTCAAGCTCCAACAACGTAGAGAATGGCGATTCTCAACGAGGTGCTTTTTCTTGTTCTCCTCCATCCTCGGAGGACTCTCCCATCCGTCATCTTCTCGAACATCATCAACGATTCTTCACAGATGCTCACGCGCCAACTTTCGCTTCATTTCATCTGTCCTCGCAACATTTTGACACGTACGAGACGGAAATCTCCCGACTCTTTCGCCGCTACGACTATGATCGAAACCGCGCTACCATCACCATCAGAATGCCCAGTCAGACTCATAATGGCTTCTTGCACAAGCTGCTCCTACGTCTCCAAGACTCCATCCCCAGAGAGTTGAACATTGAATGCCAGCTTGGATCCGACGTGGCGCTCTAGGAAGACGAACACAAAGGTGATGGCGCAGCAGTCCAAGCCCCCAAGAAGATCTGGAGCCGCCAGCCTGACCTCCAGATTGGTGAGCGGAACACTCAGTTCCCTGGTTGTGTAGTCGAGGTCGCGTGCTCCCAATCGAGCGCCGATCTTGAGCCACTCGCTTACGACTACTTTTCCAACACCAGCTTTGGGGTTCAGCTCTTCATCTTTGTTGATATCAAAGAGAATGCACGAATTTCAGTCTTGCGGGGCAATGCTGGCGTGCTTACTTGGGGTATGCAGCAGGTGGTAAGTTACCTTTCGCAATTAAAAAGATTCAGTTGCTCAGACTTTCACAGGAGTTCCAGACTGCCGATAAACACCCAGCCAACATCAATCTGGCTCTTGAGCTCAACGTAAAGGACTTTGTTCTGAGCACAGAAGTAGGCCAGTACCCAGACCTTGCCATTCGTATTCCTTTCCAAGAGCTGCACGAAATGCTGCGTCAGGCACGAAGAGACAGCCTGGTCAAGAAGGGGCGTGGCGGCAACATCCGCCGGCCAAACAAGTTTGATGGCGAGATGGTACTCCCTGCCAACTTCCGAACAACAAAATATCCTGTCGCAAAAGGAGACGGGCAGTTCAATGGCAACCAGACCACTGATGAAGTCACAGAGCGACAGGGAGCCTACGGTTTCAGGCCCGGGAGTGATGATGGAACTTCCCTGTAGAGGTGAGGAGCAGGTTGGCGATAAACAAAATGGATGTACATTCAGCAGCAGAGAAGATCGAGACGGACAGAGAGATAGAAGCGCTTGACTTTGGAACGCCTTGACTACACAATACACACATGGCTTTGGAATGCTATATCTTCTCTGTGCCCTCTTGATGTTATTCTAGCCCAGAAACTCCGCCCCCGTTTCTAGCGTGGCGCGTCACAAGTTGAATTCGGCGTAGGGCTGGTTATTGCAAAGAATTGGAAGACAGAGAGGATTGAGACGGGGAAATGGAGATTTAAAATAGATTTTCTGTTCTAGTGATTCTCCGTTTCTCCGTGAAGATCCATTCCTCTTTTGCTGGAAGCGGGGTTGAGTCTGGGGAAAGAAACCTTGTTTGTGAACCCAAGACGTACCAAGGTCGGCATTGGCTGATCCAAGATCCTAGCAAATTGTTGTGCAAGTCATCATTTCCCATTATATAAAGACAGCCTCGTCATTATCTTTGCCCCTTCAATCAGCATCGAGACAGCATACGCAACTCAGTCACTCATGATGAAGTCCTCGCTAAGCTCTGTTTTGGCTGCATTAGCCCTATCTTTACCACTGGCAGCAGCCTCATCTCAATACTCCAACCCACAGGCTCCATCTTGTCGCTTTGGCCTTGAATGGTCGCAAAAGGACGTCCTTCAACATACCGACGACTTCATCTGGGATCTTCTCTACTGGGAAGGTAAATTTCATCAAAACGATGTAGCCTACAATACTCAAAATGGCATGTCCTATGATGGAACCCAGCTTGATTGGAAGACTGGCAAGCGCACTAAGAAGCATACGTTCAGTGCAGCCAGCAAGGAGGTCAGTCATGCTACGGTCCCGAATACCGAACATCTTTACTAACAGTGTGATTTAGGCACTGCAAATCATGCTCTACGCCCAGGCTATCTCTGGGTCTAAGGAAGCTGCCCGCTTCTTGACCCCGGATAATCTCAAGGCTGCACCAGGCTTCGCTGCGTCAATCATGGAGACAAAGCTCAAGACTTATAGCCAGTTCAACCAGACATATCCCGGCTTCGGTGGCTTTCTCCCATGGATCAAGACTGACACCACGACCATCTCGCCTCAAGATGGCTGGGACGATCGCGTTCCCGGCTTAGACAATGGGTAAGCAGTGTTTCTCTAACTTTCTCATCTTAGCTAATGACCTGTTTTTAGAGAGCTCATCTGGGCAGTTTACGCCAGCATCGAAGCCCTCCAGAAGCAGTCCAACCCCAAGTTCCACAAAATCGCCGACGGATGGCAGACCTGGCTCAACTACGTCGCTTCAACTGCCCCCAAGATCTTCTACATCGGCAAAGGGAAGGTCTGTGCTGTTACAGCAATCGGCGACCAGACACTCCCTGTCAATGACAAGAAGCAGTCGTACAAGTGCGAGTCGGAGACTTATCTCGATGACCCTTATGAAGGAGAGCTTTTGACTTACTTCTTCCAATTCTTCACTGATCTGTCCAAGAAGGATAAGCAGACGCTTTGGGAGTACAAGAGAGCCAAGTTGGAGAAGGCTGAGTATAACAAGGGTGGTGTTGGTCCTATCACTGTTCGCAAGGGTTTTTGGTTCTCTAGCCATGAGATTTGGAACCAGCTTGAGTTGCCATACCACGACGTTGACATTGTCAGGTAAGCATCGTCAGTCGTCTCAGAAATCTAAAGCTAACCGTTTAGCCGCCTCTTCAAGAACGGCGAACGTGCTCGAACTTGCAACTCGGTAGTCACCAAGACCCCCGGCCTCTACGCCTCCGTCAACAACTCTACCGATCCCAAGACAGACGAGATCATCGGCTACATCTCACCCGCCGGTATTCCCTCTATTGCAAGTCAAAAGGATCAAGAGCTCGATGTCATCACTCCTTATGGTGTCTTCCCTGTTGTATTGTTCGACAAGGCTGTTGGCTTGGCTTGGTGGAGGAACATGATCGTTGGAAAGAAGATGCAGAGTAAGAATTATAGATATCACATTGGACACGATCGCTGACAATAGTGCAATAGATCCTTATGGCAGCACAGAGTCCACCCGCGTCGACGGCAAGGGTGTTTCAGCACTCGTGACCTGGGATAGTAAGGTCACTACTGTACTCTCCCTCATGAATGGTGTTGTGGATCTTGTTCGCGAGCGAATGAAGTCTGATGGCATCTACAACGAGTTCCTAAAGATTACAGAGGCAAGTTCTCCATGATGTATTATTAATTTCTGTGCTAACAAGATGTTTACAGCATGAGCATGTTCGGGTGTTTGGTAATAACCTCAAGGGCGAGGATATCGAGTTCTGTCTGCCCAAGAACAAGGTTCCCGACGCAGGACTCAAGGACTTCACAGCTTGTCAGAAGTGAATGGGGCATAATGTAGTGATATCGAACAAGGCCTTTGAACAGATCTGACAATTACTGTACAAGTAACATGGAAGTAGACCTAACATGACCTCCAAAGCTGTTTCTCTCGTCCATGAACCTCGTTTAGAAACTGAGCTTCTGACCTGCCTGTCCCGGAACTGTTGAAGCAACCTTTCCGGATCCCAGAAGCGTGAACTGATACGGAATCTTGCTTGAGCTCAACGTCCCCTTCGGAGCAGTATTTTGACTCTCACCGCCGAGAACTACGTCTTCTGCGACAACATATCCGACCTCGGAGCTTGACTCGCTGAAGATAGCCTTCTTTCCAACGTTGGTGAACACAGATGATTGGATAAGAGCCTGGGCACCCATGCGGCTGTTGAGACCAGTGTCCATGGTATCGTAGTACTGACTATAGGCTGTTTAGTGGCAAGTCAAAACCGAAGCTACTGGGAAACGTACTTGAAGATATGTGCCGTGCCAAAGCGAAGCAGAGGGCCTCGGCTTCTGACGTTGTTGAAGTGGTTGTTGGCGTATGTAACGCGCAGGGTACCAACGTCCTCAGCTGCGTTCTTGTCGGAGTGTCCTACGAGTGATCCCTTGGACTAATGAACAGTTAGCCAGAGCTCCTTCAAAGTTTTGGTTAAGAATGGGGATTACTCACGTGGTCATGGAAGTAGGTATACGAGATGGTAACCCAGTCAGCAGCATGCGACAGATCGACCAAGCCATCATAGAAGTCTTTATCGTCACCTCTAACAGCAGATAGATCACAATGATCAACCCAGACATTGGTCGATTTCTGGATAGTGATCGCGTCACCGTAGTCAGCTTCAACCTTGGAGATCTTCATGTTGCGGACAATGACGTTCTTCTGTCCGTTGATGGTCAAACCAATGCCGGTGAGGGCTAGACAGAACTGTTAGCACTACACCTGTGAAAGAACACTGTTGACCTACAGCTGCCGGTCTTGCCAATGATGGACTTGTTCGAGGTAACTTGAACCTTGGCTGCGCCAGAGATACTGCCCTGCACCAAGATGACGGAAGGACCATCAGCTGCGGCAGCAGCGGTTAGCTCAGCGAGGGTCTTCACAGTGACTTGAGCAGCACTTCCGCCTCCAGTGGTACTATGCGCGTCAGATGCCGGAGATGTGAAGCTGTACCTTGCTTGACTCACCCTCCATTCTGAGTACAGTAGCCGATGTTACACGGATCGTTTGCCGCAACTCTGGCTTGGAGGTTGGCACCAGGCGCTGCCGTGGCGAGGCCAGAGAGAAACAAAATATTAAGGAGTCTCATTCTGAAGAGAAAGGTTGACAGAGTTCAATGATTCTTGGGGATGCGGTGGGAAGAGACATCGCTGGGATGTTCAGGAGGTACTGGGTTTTAAATATAACTTCACATCCACCCAAACCGTGATCGTGGTGATCTACAAGTTTCGGACTGCACAGTTACCCCCAATGTACATCTATTCTCCCTTCGAATTGACTATTTCATGAGTCGTTACGTTTCAGCAATAGGATGTAGATATTTGGACAAGCTATGCTGATTGGTGGAAGATGTCGACGAGATCTTCCGTTCGTCAATGCGTTCCCCCAAAGTTAACGCAAAACACTATCTGCGGTCTGCATTTCCTGTAAAGAGCCTGGAAATAAGGCTGCTCTTGTGGTATTTGATGAGTTGCTTGAAGAAGGGACAGTTACATCACTCGGAAGTCTTTCCTCCGCATAACTGAATCGGGATCTCGATTGTGGGGTAATGGGGGTTTGACATGGCTTGGCGTAGTTGAAGGCTGATGATGAGGCGCGAGATTCACAAATTTAGAGATATTGTCAGTTCAGAACCATTAGGTCTATTTGTGGTGGTTATCTTGCGTGAAGCATATTGCATTTGATAGTTGTTTGGACTCGTGGCCCTTTCATTGAGGCATATTACCGGGTTGGAGACTGAGATAACATCAATGTACCGGTATATAAACATTTCCGAGGCCAATAACTATAGATGATGCTTTGCATGGCGCATCTTTCTAGATTATATGCGAGAGCTATGACAAGCCCGTTCCAAGTTGTGAAGTCCTTATCCTATCTACCGTTGAGCTCTTATCTAATCTTATCGATCTGACTTGAGACTGATTGCCAGGTGTTGGTGTTGCGAGCTGGCTGGCAACCGGCTGGTTCCTTGAACCAGCGAGACCAATCCAGGATGCTGCCTGGTCATAAGATTCGGCATGATCACATGTGTTTAGGCTTTCATTCGGCTGCCGACCATGCTACCATCTGTCGATCATCACGCCGAACGATGCCTTCCAGGCGTTCATCCGGGTGCATCAGCCGACAACTAACGCAGGTCACTCCCATCCATCCCCTCAATCGCCAGCAACCATTATTATCCAATACCTTCCCCTAAAGCCAAGCTCATACTGCGCGACTTATCTATCAAGTGGGTGGCTCACGCTTATCGTTGATAGGCTTTCCCCGCAGCCAAGCTTAAGTCAATTAGGATCTTTTGTTGGCGTGTAATCCCTGTCATAAACGCATCATCACCTTCCCAATTCGAGAATCTCCGAAGATAGTCGAATGCTTAAAGGTTATTTAACTGGCCGATATACCACGTCTTACTTCTGCATGTTTCTGAGGGAACTTATCGATACTGATGCTTTTATCAACATATCACGTCGTGCCAATCACTCTCGCTGCTTGTGCTGCGCTTTTGAACGTCCCAGCAGTTTTAGCAGCCATGGCGGACCGAAAGGTAAACAAGATATAATTTGCTGAGAAGACATGTTCCTCAACAAGATACTATAGGCCATCGTTTACGACTTCGAGAAGTTGGAGGACTATCAGCAGAGGAATGAAACCGTGCTTGAGTAAGTGATGCAACGTCAACAACAGACTCCCAAGCTTACCACAATATCAGTATCGTCAAAAAGGACACTGGTGTCGACTTTTGGAGGCAGACACGAACGATTCCTCCCACTTCCTATCCTCCGTAAGTATGGCACTCCTGTATGCTACGCCAGAGCTGACGTGCCTTGACGGCAGACCGATGACTTTGGAGGCTATTGAGAAGCTGAAGGAAGTCAAGGGAGTTATTGTAAAGGATGTTCCTACTGAGGAACTTTAGTTTATGGACTCTTCAGTTGTTTCACAAAGGAGTATTTTTTCGGCAGACTGATGACTGTAGTTATACTTATCTATAAATTGTATCCTGTTGGTTTCCGGCTCGTATATGTCTATTGAGGGGTCGACCTGAACACATCACTGTATGCACAATTTGTTTTCCCTTTTCTTTTATCATGTCAATGTTGATTATCTCACATCATTCTTCAAATATTCAACGCTGATGCCGTCCTAGTTTAACAACCCTTCATATGCAGATACTTGACTGATTGCTAGCCGCAAGGTAAAACTTTAGGCTGCCAACATAGATAATGAGGAAACGATATTCATGTCCATAATACTTCATAGACAGAAGGTTTCAAGTCAATCCATCATTCTGGGTTACTTTACACGACTCGCAGACTGACATCAAGGTAGGTAGGTCGGGGAACATAACAGCATTGATTTACTTTTTGTCCTACTAGACATTTCACGTTGCTTCTATCGAAATGAATATTTCCATCAAATTTCATATTCAATTTGGGCTATCTAGATTGCTGTATTACGAGCAACCAGGACTAAGATCCAACTGAAACCAACTCATATCTTCTTAACTCGCTGAAACCTATTTCTCAAACAGGTTTCGTATCCAGGGCTCAAGCTAGAGAATATCCAAAGAACATCTCGGCACTTAAACAAGGTATTTAAGCGTAGGTGTCAATGAAAGAGCGGAGAGCACCAACGCTGGCATAGACACCAGAGTAGTTGGGTCGGGCACATCCGTTACCCCAAGAGACAGCACCGATAAGAGTGTTGGAGCTGTCGACGATGGGGCCGCCACTGTCACCCTGGCAAGAGTCCTTGCCACCGGAAGAAACACCAGCACAGAACATCTGGTTGGTGATGGCAGAGGTGCCGTACTGAGCTCGGCAGGTAGCACGAGAGACGATAGGGACAGTAACCTTCAGAAGGTTGACGGGAGTAGAGCTACCGCCCTCAGAGGTAGCGCCCCTGGATGGGAGTTAGCATATAGTATCTCAGATGTCAGAGAACGACTTACCAGCCAGCAACTGTGGCAGAAGATCCAGCGACAGGGTCAGAGCCGGAAGCAGCCAGGCGAGCATAGCCGATGTTTCCGCCGGAGGGGATGGAAGTAGAGAGCTTCAGAATAGCAAGATCGTTGTTGTTTCCGCTGTAGCTAGGGTGAACTCTGACGGAGGAAAGCGACGAGGTAACACCACCAGAAGTGCGAGACTGTCAAAGAGGTTAGTGAGGCCGCTCCTATCCCCCAAATGGTAGAAGACTTACCAGACTGCCAGCACGAATCTGGAAACCGCTCTGAGCGTATCCGGAAACGCAGTGGGCAGCAGTCAAGACGGTGTTGGCGTTGAGGAGAGAACCTCCACACCAAGGGCCACCGTTGCGGCTGATGCTCACGATGAAGGGAAAGTCGCCAGCGCTGGCAGAAGTGCCGCCAACGATGTTGGGGATCTCCTGAGGAGCGGCAGCAGCCAGGGGAGCAACAAGTGCAACGACGGAAGCGAACTTGACCATAGTGAAGAGATAGATATCCAAGAGAAGAGAGTTGAAGAGTGAAGAGTGGTTGATGATAGACTACTTCGAATAGTCCATCATCATCCTTTTATATTTGAGAATCCAACATAGCTATGGATGTTGTTGTGCTTTCTTACCTGCCTCTCTGGTTACTATCCCGCGATAAGCTTGCTTGGTTGTATCTTCGGACTTTGCGAATAGGCGGACCTGCCTTTCTGGTACTAAGCTCCGTTGTTCCGTAGTCTAGTTCGGCATTTAGAAGAAGCATTAACCTTATCATGCTCCCGTGAAAGTGATCGGCATATAAGGCCCTTGGCAGCAGGGGTCAGTATCCCGATGAGGAAAGTCGATAACTCTATCGCCAATAACACTGTGGATATGACGGATTAATAGGACGAAAGGTCAACACTGGACGAAAAAGAGCTTCAAGATGAATATAATTATGAAGCTGGTGAGAGTCATCGAAGAGCTGATCTACAGCGTGTGTTTGATCGGCTTATCCCCCCAAGATCTACGATTAATGCCGAAGGATCATCGCGTCAGCATTCTACAGACCAACCGGAGTTATTTAGCCCGAGGAATCGCCAAGCATCAAAGCGCATCTGCACTACTACTCTGGGCGGGGTTCACTGCTATAATTCGGTCATGCGCCATCAATCACAATGGCCCAATATTCTGAAACTGGAAACCACATAGAACTTTTGTAGCCACCACCACGCAATAGCAGCCCTGCGATAACGCACGCATCGACCTGCATAGGATACACCTCTGTGGCCAGTCTGTCACCTAGTTTCTAGATGCACCTATTGCATTGCTGATGCCAATACCTGTTGCATCCTATTCCATCCCCTACCTTCCAAACATAGCATCTATCTCCGTCTTATCTTTTCCGTCGATCCTACTAGGTCTAATACGAAGGCCTTCTCGAATGATGCGGGATATTCTCCCGCTATTGCTTACTAGTTCAGCTTGTAGATCTTCGCGAAGAGATGCCCTGATCTAGAGCTGAGATAGATCACTTTTGGAAGGTACTTTTGATTGGAGAGCGCGTAAATCAAGTTTCGAGAGGTGCTAGGCGGACTTTGCATAGTTTGAAAGAGGAAGGACGTGAAGATAGGTGAAGTTCATGATCTGATGCTCACCGTATCTTTGACGGATCGATGAGTCGTGTCGGAAGTCTCCACTGTTGAAGGTTTGTAAGAATTCGGCTCCTTGATCCAAGTTCCTCCGAAGGGCTTTGTTGCGTGGCTCGCATATGGACTTTCTAAGATTGGGGATAATTGGGGCCAGAGCCACGCGTATTACCGAACAGACTGCTCATGTATGGATGTAAATCGTGTGATTGGGTAGGTCTTAATATTTAGACGCCTCGTGTTCGATAAAGCTTGGTTATCTTAAGGCAACATTGGAAACATGGTGTGCATGTCAAAGAAGGAGGCTTGAGTACATATTGAATTGGTCAAATTTCATGACTAGGCACCATGGTTGATTGATACAGTCGAATGCGGAATGTAAATGCGATGCTTAAAGTGGTTACTAATGAATCGCTTGGAATTAGCACGGCTTTGCTGAAACTTTATTCTAAAACAGCCACTTAATGTTGCCTGACAAAGCGCCCATGCGGTGTGGTGAGCTCATGAATCATGCAGGAGAAAAGTAAGCTTTTAACATGCTGGGCACTAAACAGCAACGACATATCGTCACTAAGTCAAGCTGCAATATGAACGACTGGCGTGGTACAATATCCGGCCTCAATATTGTAAATAACAACCACAAATAAGGACTTATGAGTTCAAAGCGACAATTAAAGCTGTATCTTCAATAATATATAAGTGCCCTGAATGCAAAATGTCAATCCAGGGTAGGAATACGATGTTTGTTGGGTTTTCCACTAGCGATGACGCTACTAATTTCCCTCGCCAAAAGCTGAGCCCCAAGAGCCAATAATCGTGGCGCTGCCCCTGACAGCCCCTGTAAAACTAACGGCCTCAGCTCGAATCGCGCTGGCACTATCGATAAAACGTTTCTAAAAACACTCAACTAACAAGACGCTTGATCTTGTTTGGGAAGACTAGTTATCAATAGCTTCAAAAGGATCTACACTAAATAATGACCGCCAAGCCCAACACGAGGTCGTTAAGGCAGGATTTGCCAGGGGAAGAGAAAGATTAAACCCAGATTCCCCCCAAACTTTGTTTCTCTAGATTGTCGCGTTTTTGTTATAGCCGGAAAATCACGATTATCGCAGAGATGGCTCGCCATTTCGTCCGTTCGTTTGTTATTGCTGCGGCGCTCAGCCCCTTCGTTAATGCTGGGCCATGCCGCCCCTCTTCGAGCTCCGTAGCGGTCGTTACGACTACTGCTGAGACCAGTGTCGCGACTGGCTCTGCTACGACTCATACCAAGGACTCCAGCTTGACTGAGTCTTTATCTGGTACCTCAACTGAGACTTCCCTTATTGTCAGTGAGAGTGGCTCAACCACTGGTGCTTCCACTGAGACAAGTCTCACTATTAGTGAGAGCGACTCATCCACCGGCACTACCCTGGGCACCACTACCTCAACTGAGTGTACCGAGCCAGAGCCTCCTGTCTACAATGATCCCTTTACTGCCACCTACACCGAGGAGATCCCAGCGACCACAACTGAAGCGGCAACCACTACTGAAGATGCTGCCGCCACCATTGTCCCGAGAAACTTCGTTCGAAGAGGTCATCCAGAGATATTTGTCAGGGATGCCACAAGTGAAGCCGCTCCCGCCAACAGCGAAGATGCTACCACTACAGAAGAGGCTACCACCACTACCGAAACTGCCGCTACCACTTCTGGAGAAGCCACTACTACTGGCGATACAACCGCCACATCTGAAGACACCACTGCTATCACTGAAGGTGCTACTACCACCACAGAAGAGGCTACCACCACTACTGAAGAGACTACCACCACTGCTTCCGAGACTGCTACCGGTTGCGTTAATAATATGGAGAGACCAACACCTGAGGGCGCCGTCTGCGGAGCAAGGGGTTATGTATGGGGCGTTTCAGACGAATGGAGATCCTTAGGCGAAGGCTCATCTTCCTCTTTGATGGACTGTTACAAGTCTTGCATGGAGACGTCTAACTGCGTTACCTTCCTCTACCAGAAAGATGCGCAATGCAGTCTCTACAGAGGTAAAATCACTCAGCTGAGCTCGGACCGAACCAGCGTCAGGAACTATGAGATAAGCTGCTTCTGTGACACAGGTATTGAGCCAGCTCCGACCTGCTCATATGATACCTCCATCATCAACGGCGGTTTCGATAACGGCAAGTTCTCTCCATGGCAGGAGGATCCCAATCCTGGCGGTAAAGATCCCGTCGCCTTGAGGCCCGTTCCTGGTGGCGAGGGCGGTACCTCTTATCGGCTCCAGACTGGCCAGTTTGACTTCGACAAGAGCATGTGGATTTACCAGGATGTCAAGGCCTGCCCTGGCACCACGTTCTACTGCAGCTATAGGTGGTGGTGGGATGAGTACTACTCGATTCCTCAAAATAGTGGCGGCAGCTTGGTTCCATATGTCCGCGTTTACCAAGACGACGACAGGATCGGGAACAGATATCCAACCAGTGCGGCCCAGACGAAGACATGGATCAACGCAAATTTCCAGTTCACTATGCCTGATAGCGGAGAGACTAGGATTTGGTTCGTTGCTAGCAGTCCTCAAGGTGAATGGATCAATAATAGCGACGACCCTTGTACGCCCGACTGGGTTCACCGACCTAACTCGTTCGCGTTGGACTCGGTATATTGCAGAAGCTAGAGGGTTAAAGGAAGATTTCTTTTGGATTCAGACATGCTAGTTTAGAAATTCTTTGTAAATATATTTAACATTCGTATATGTCTCCCAGCTTATGCTTGCTTATTCGTTCCTGTGATTTCATTCCAACCGAAAACCTGCTGTCCCATCATACTATTATGGTAGTCTACCTTTAAGCCAAGCTCATACTTCTTATACCACGGCCAAAAAGCATCTCTGATCCACATATTTATCGCCCAAATGCCAACCATTATCCGAAAAACGCCAACGGAAGTGGTCGTGGAACCAACAACATGGCTGGACCAGAGACTCTTTTCGCGATATTAGTACAAGTTGTTATGTTAGCAAATGGGAACGAAGCTTACTATTTTATTTGTTGGGGGCTGTCCATTGCAACCCTGCTTCGCTGTACGTACCAGATTGTTATCATCACCTTCATTAACATTGGGGTCTAGGACAAGACAAATAATGTCATTGATGCAATTGGCTATGCGAGAGAGTTGTGTTTGTTGTTATCTATTAAATATCCTAGTTTCTGTGATAAGGTTGAGAGGATAAAAGAGGCTTCAGCCCCAACACAAAGGTGGAGAACACAAACTATCCTTGTTTCAACAGGCCAGGTCCTCATCCTTTGGCTGCCAGGTCATATTGGGCATCAAGATAGGCTTCGGCGGCCATTCTCCAGCTACATAATAACACTCAAATTGATGTAGCCCCGACCCAAGCAATCTACTCTTGATTCGCTTATCATTGTATATTTGAGCCGGATCATCACTCAACTCGGACGGCAAGGTGACAAGAGCAGATGAGTTGGGCGGAACGAGTAGAGACATCTTGAATGAGCCAGTATCTGTCGTCCACGTCCACTTGCACTCAATTCTACCATACGGCCCATCAAAGCTCGTTTCAGCCCAAGTCAGATTCCCTCCTGGGATTGGCTTCACACGGAAGACTTTCCAGCCCGGCGAAGAAGTCATGGGTACAATACCGCCAACAGTGCCATGTAGCCAGTCTGCCACAGCACCCAAAGCATAGTGATTGAAGCTTGTCATGCGACCCGGGTTGATGCTTCCATCGGGCAACATGCTGTTCCAACGTTCCCAGACTGTCGTTGCACCCATCGTAACAGGATACATCCAGCTGGGACAAGACTTCTCACAGAGCATTCGGTATGCTAATTGGGGCTGCGCCGTCTGTGTAAGGGCGTGGGTGATGAGTGGAGTGCCTGCGAACCCAGTTCCAATCTTGAACTGAGCGGCTCGCACTAACTTCGATAAAGCCTTTGCTGCGGCGGTGACTTCTCGAGACTCCTTCTCACCGTCACGGTACAGTGAGAAGCATATCGCCAGCGCGATACCTGTTTGAGTATTCGCCATCAAGTTACCTGCAGGCGTAATGTATCGATCCTGGAATAACGACCGTAGACGGAGCTCCTCGGCATCGTACTTGTCAGCCAGATCGTGTTTGTTCAATAGCCGACAGACTTTAGCGAATACAGACGTAACATGAACCAAATACGCATCAGCCACCATAACTGAGTCAGTTCTCGAGTATCCCGGCTGATCTGGTGGCGCTGTAGGGTCAAGCCAATCTCCGAATTGCCATTGATCCGGGTTCCATAATCCATCACCTCCTTCTCTATCAACACCTCGCCCCAGCCAGGCACGCATACTCTCAAACTGCTTCTCAAGCAGTCTTGTATCGCTGCTGCTTGTATATAGAGAATATGGCACGAGAACAGTAGCGTCGTGCCACAATGCTTGTGGCATCCGCTTCGGCCAGCCTGGAAGACGAACATCCGGGCATACTAAGCCGGGGACACCGTCTCGGCCATCTTCAAGCAATTGCTCAGCGGCTAGTTCATCGAGCCACCCTGAGAGAAATCCGGTTGTCTCATAGAGAAATGACGCGGTTGGGCAGAATATCTGGATATCACCCGTCCAGCCAAGCCTTTCATCGCGTTGAGGGCAGTCCGTTGGTATGGAAAGGAAATTGCCCTTCATCGACCAGACAACATTCTCATGAAGCTTGTTAATAGCGGCATTGGAGCACTTAAAATGACCTCGCCTTGTCATATCGCTGTGCATGACAAGAGCCTCGACATTAATATCATCAGCACCAAGACGAAGCAAAGATACCGCGTCAAGAGGTTCTAAGTTGGCATCAAGCACCTCCACCTGGACGTAGCGAAACCCGTGGAACGTAAACTTTGGAGCCCAGTCCTTTAAAGGCTTACCTGACGATATGATCGTGTCTGTGCACTTTGCGTGATTGAGAGGGCGAGATCCAAGTTCACCATGCTCCATGACCTCGGCATGCTTCCATGTCAGAGTCGCGCCAGGAGGAAGCTCCAAGGACTTGATTTGGAGTTTCCCTACTAGGTTCTGACCAAAGTCGATGATTGTCTTCCCAGTCGTGCATTCAAACACCTGTGATGGCCTGATAGTTTGCTTGACTCGAACAGGAGGAACCTCGGATTCCACCAAGCGCTCAGTAGGCTTCCTGTCCAATACTTTCGTAGCGTATGAGACAAAGTCGTCACCAACTTGAGCCCCTTCTGAGGTGACATTGTTCCAGTTGTCGCATTCAAGGCGCTGATCATAAGTCTCGCCATTATACAACTCGCTGCTGATAATAGGGCTTGGTGTGCACTCCCAGCTGTCATCTGTCACAAGTCTCCAAGGTTGTTCCTCCGGGTCATGTGTGATCTCAAGCTGGGCGAGTAGCGACAGCTCCTTGCCACCATAGTTGAAGCGAGTTCCTCCTCTAAAGCCGAGAGTGCCAGCAAACCAACCCTCACCGACCTCCGCAGCCATCATGTTTCGAGCACCTGTCTCAAGGTTAAGATATTGTTCGACGTCAAGGGTCCGGTATGCTAGGCGATGCCGATAACTTGTCCAGCCTGGAGCCATGCACTCGTCACTCGCGAGATGACCATTGATATAGATGTTGTAGACTCCCAGCGCTGTGATGTACAATCGACACTTTGATGACTGTTGAGAGAGGTGACCGGGGATGGTGAACTCTTTTCGAAAGCGAATAGGCTGAAGCGGCGCCTCTAGCCCATGATGCGAGGCTGGAGTGATGAATGAAGCAGCCCAGTCATTAGGCGAGAGTAAGCCAGTCTCGACAGTGGCAGCTGGTGACCACTCGGTTGGTTCTGAGTCAGATGCACTGTATGCACGAACCCTCACAGTAGCCATGTCTCGAGATTGAAGTGGTGGCGCTGGCCATGATACTAGAACAGACTGCTCACTTTCGACATGGTAGGCGGTGGTCTGTGGTGTTGGCCGAGTTGGTGTAGGATGAGATATGACTTCGATATCGTACGCCTTTTGGGTCCAGTTGGACGGCACATCGGAAACTGGAGACGTAAGGAATTGCCATGAGATTCGAGGTTTGGACTGGCCTATTCCGATGCAATCATAATGATGCTCGAAAGCGGGCTTGGATATCCTCAGTGGCATCATGTTGTTCTGGGCAAAGGCCAATGGAAAATCATCCAGTCGCCGGGAATTGGACCATAACGCAAAGGAAACAATTTGGCTAAGTTCTAGATCCAAATATAAGCTGAGGAGTCAAATTTCGGTCGTCAATCGACCGACCTGAACGACTAGTTGAGCTGTTGAGTCGTATCGCCAAGGTGTTCAACGGGGTCCTGATTCACTCGACGAACAAACTATGGTAAAGGCACGTCTCTCAGTGGTCAGTCGGTAGGCCCAAGGTAATCCAATCGGATAGACAGCCCACCGGACTCAGTTATCATTGGCATGACTCGTCCATAACCTCGGATCTCCAAACACGCTACCCCGGAGTCTCCACTATCAGAGCATGGTTCCCCGACAGAAACGCGGGGGAAACCCGGGGATTCGGTCAACCGCTTAGATGACCCCTTCGAATTCGGTCTATCTTGTAGCGAATCGGGGCTTCAAATTGACTTGATATCTCTACTGGGAGAAGAGAGAACATCATAGCATCAGATCAACCTGAAAAGGATCATCTATCTTTGAGAGAACGTCTTCGGAAACTTGATAGTATCTTGGAGCAGCCAGTGTATTCACAATGGGTCGTTGGCGTACTATCTCCATCGCTTTGGTCGTCACCATGGGAGGATTCACCTTCGGCTTTGACTCGGGTGTGTCCAGAACACGCTGAAACAACCGGAACGCCTTCTCTGACTAAGTATCACAGGAATCATCGCGACCACCTTCGGTCATCAAACTTTCCGCGTCTACATGTACGGGCCCTCCCAAGCCAGCACATCTCTCGCTGGTGCCATAGTATCATGCTACAACGCCGGTCAAGCCATCGGAGCCCCAACAGTTGGCTATCTTGCCGATCGCTTCAGTCGCAAGTATACCATCGCCTTTGCTTCCCTTCTCGCTATCCTCGGAGCCGCTCTGCAAGCCGGTGCCGTTCATGTCGGCATGATGATCGCAGGCCGGCTCATCGCCGGCCTCGCTTGTGGCCAGTTCCTCGCTGTTGTCCCGGTCTATATCGCCGAAGTAGCCAAGCCCTCTCAGCGTGGTTTCCTCGTTGGCCTTCAGGGTTTGATGACTGCTATTGGGTTTTGTATCGCGAATTGGGCTGGATATGGAGGTGCTTTTGCGGTTGGGGATGCTCAATGGCGGATTCCCTTGGCTATGCAAATTCCTGTTCCTTTCATCCTTATTTTCGCTGTGTTCTTCGTACCCTTCTCCCCTCGTTGGCGTAAGTCTTATCCACCTAATCATTCTCAAAGCCTATCTGCTAACATCTCTTTCAGTTGTCAGAAAAGGACGTCATGAAGAAGCCCGCCGCGTTCTCAACCTCCTCCACGACACCGAAGGCGAAACCTTTATCGAACAAGAACTCCTCCAGATCCAACAGCAGATTGAACTTGAGGCGTCTGCTGAGACAAGCAGCTGGGCATATGCGATCAAAGAACTTTTTTCCATGCGATACCTCCACCGCACGCTCATGGCGGCTTTCATCGTCTCCCAGTCCCAGCTCTCAGGCGCCTCTGTCATCCAGAACTTCCAGAACACATTCTATGCCATCGTTGGTATCACCGGTCGACAGTCGCTCTTGGTATCTGGTATCTACGGTTTCATGGGTGTTATCGGAACCATCATCTACTTGGGCATCGTTGCAGACAGATGGCCTCGTGCTCGAACATTGTGGACTGGCTCGCTCGCCTTGTCCGTCTCCATCGCTATCTGTATGGCTTTGAGTGCCACCTATGGTCAGGCCGGAGAGAGTAACATGGCCGGAGCAAGAGCAAGTATCGCTTTCATCTTCATCTACTCTGCGACCTTTGCAATCTTCTTCAACGCAATGATCTGGGTTGTCCCATCAGAGCTGTTCCCAACATTCCTTCGATCAAAGGGCATGGCCTTCGCCGTGTCATCCAAGTCCGTCGTCGCTATCGTTCTTAGTCAGATTACTCCTTTGGCGCTCGCAGAGGTCAGCTGGAGGTTCTATGCTCTCTTCATCGCGTGTAATACTGCCGCCGCCGTCCTGTACTTCTTTTTCCTGCCTGAGACTGGTGGTAAGACCCTGGAGGAAATCGCAGAGCTCTTTGGTGATGCTGTGGCGGTGGATATGCATGCCAATATCGAGAAGCTTGATGCTACCAGTGTTGTCCATGCTGAAGGCAGCGAGCCTCGCAAGTAGGATCGACCAGTGTCTCTACAATGGAGGAACTGAGAGATTGCCGAAACCTCGAGGCATTCGATCAATGGTTTTCAGTATAGTTTGAATGAGTGACTTCCCAACATGATTTCGTCCCTGTAATAATGAATTCCTCTTTTACGATACCGAATGAGTGACAATAGATCCTCCCCTTGTGCTTCTTACTCTCTACTATCCGCCCCACGAAGGCCAAGCTTGAATGTCGTAACCGTAGGTCCTGTTTAGACGATGAGCTATCTTAGAATCTGTTGATTGAGGATCATGGTCTCCTTACATAATGTCACTATGGTTCATTGGCCATTCCATTGACGCGCTCGGATTTATTCCTGAAGTCGTTGAGTTAGAACCCCAACTTCCCGTCTTCTAGTTGTTAGGCCACGTCCATCTTAATTCATGTAGGTACAAAGTCCACACATTCCCAAACTTGCTCTTCACCGAAGTAAATACAAGTAGGGTCTGTCGAGGACAAGCCATCTCTGCTCCGCAGCTACCTCGGTTCCCCCGTGCTCCCAATCCATGATCCTCGGGGCTTACCTAAGTGGCTCCTCAAGGAGATGGAGCTAGTTCCGATGACAACCTAGTTGACAAAGGATCTGCTTCTAGCGCTTCTTGAGAAGGCAACCTAGACAAACCCTGGGATCGCAGGCTGATGTCACAGGGGAATTCCACGGTAGCTGCGAAGGCACCTATACAGATAAAGTGAGTTATTTGTGCAACCTGTTCAATTACAGTCAAAGGAAAGAAGAACTTTACCGATCCAAGGAGAGCATGTTCCGTGAGACCAAGATGCTTCATGACCCAGGCGAGAGCATCGCGGCCGCCGTCATTTTCGACGGCCCCGAGAATAGCCTCGACAGCCGTTGCGACCATCCCGGAACTGACCCTAGTAGTTCCTCCCTTCATGTTGATGCACTTATGAAGACCGTGTCCCCTGCCAACTCTAGCCAGGTTATCATTGCTGATCAGGTCGCGGCGGAGCGTGGTCCAGCAATCTTGACTATCAATTAGATACAATTTAAGATGGGTTTGAAAACGATCACTCACGTTTTGGGAGTTCTCACTTAATCCAGAGGCTGCACAAGTAGGCTGCAGCTGCGACGTCGCCGTAAACAGCGAGTCGATCATTCTCGGGCATTTGCTTGAAAGAACCGTCCAGAACACAGACAGACATCGCGTCGGCGGCTGTGTTCAGTGCTTGTGCGCAGAGAGACTTAGAATTAAACTCATATGCGATAACGGACTCGTACTCCAAGACCTTTCGACTGAGCCTCGGACAAGATGTCATGATTGCGATGGGTCACTGAAGGTTTAGGGTTACGATGAGATTGCAAAATTGTGAAGTTTGATGAGAAGCGATGAAGAAGTGTTGAACTGTTTCGATGTCAACGATTTCATGGATGAGGGGTACATGCAAAGGCGTGCTGTACACATATCATTGGCTGACTACAGTACGGCATTTGTTAGTGTTAGGATATACCACTAGATACAAGCTTTGCTCTCTTATCATCAAGTCTTCTCTATCCGTCGTTGTTGCTGCGAAAAGCCGACTCTATAGGCCTTGGGCCAACATCATTGCTCGGAAGATGCTTCACGCGCAAAGCTTGACTGACCATCGTGATTGCTTGTGAAAACAAAAGTTAAACAGCTTGATGCTGACTTCCATGACTGACTTGAGTATATGCATTGAGCTAAATGCGTCGGGTTTCATAATCCTCTGCGTTGTTAGTTGTAACGAGCCTTTGGCATTTGAAATTCTATCATAACTACCCAGCACAGTCTGTACCAGTCCTGCACCGTATTTGTAAGGAGGAACAATTAGATATTTTGGCCTTGACCAGCACGTCCAAGTCAATGGCTCATTCAACCTGCTCGCATCCGCTGCTCTTGTGAGGAACAACACAAATCCAAAGCCACCACATTGAATTTGTCCGATTGGTTTCGGCGTAAAGCATGTAAGACCTCTGGAATTAAGTTTCTTTGTGTCCGACTGATCCGAAGTAGTGGTTTCATGACCAACATCGGCTTTCCTCTCCCTTGCTAACCCTCCCTTTCAGCCTTCAAAGCTGTAAGCCAACAAGCTCAATGATACCTTAAATCGGACGTCTCGGCTACCTCCTGGGTGGCTATGCAGCAATCTTCCATATCAGAGACCATAAGCGAATGTTTTCGGCCTGAGTCTGTTTCAAGAAGGTCATTAAGTCAGCCCCGTATCTGGCTCGTATCGCCAAGACTCTTCACGTGAATGGCACTTCTGATCAGCGTGAGTGCCGAAAACAAGCTTTCCAAGAGCCGGGAATTAAATCACCGTTCTCGATCGTCTGCCCCAAAGGACCATCTTTCTCATTATCATTGGCTATTGCTCTGCAATCTGCCTCGGGCCAGCAATTATATGTGGAGGTCTCAATGTCTAAGCCTCATGATGATGACTACTATTTTCGATATTGACTTTCGGAACGTGCCGATAGTCCCAAAGCCCCGGTCAAGGGAGACGCTCGGCAGCGATATCCGCTCCGTTTTAGCCGCTCTTGCTGAGAAGTATCATGATGCGCTGTTTGGATCTAGACTGTTCGATTTGAGGGCATCAAAACTCCGAGGGGCTCGGAAGGGCGGTCGCTCGGGCATTATGGAAGACGCGTCAGCTCATAGCTTCTAACAGCTCACAGCTCTTGGAGATCTTCGGCGGTAAAGCTCCTGGGCATCGAGAGTGCTGATCTAAGATTGCTTTGTTTGTATCAACCCCATCATTTAGCAGTCTGAGGTCGAGCTTTGGACTTTCACTAGTAACGTAAGCCTTCTGCGTTAATTAACCAGTACAAGGTCTTCTGTCTACTTGTGAGATGGCGTATTCCTGTGCATTTCAACGGCCGTAACAGAATTATGCTTGCCAATTGAGAGAGACGCCGTTCCTGATGGAAATGGGAATAAAGGTCTAACAACTTGAAGCCTAGCCAATTTGATTGGACCTCTCGTAAACGGGCTGAAGCATAGCCCCAGGGGTGGCTTCAATCGAATCTGGGGTAATTCAGGGCGAAAGGGGCGTTGCATTGTCAAATGGTAAAAGTATCGAATCGTGAATACGAACAATGCAAGGCAGCTCGGGAGTGACGGGATATTTCCCCACTTAAACAAAGGTTGACATAAAAGCACAGCTAGCTCTAGCAGTGGCAGTGCTCCATGTTTTTATGACAGCCCTGTCTTCTTCATTGCCGATCAGCCGTATAACCCCAGTGTTTGACTAAGAGGCCGATATCCGAGACGGGAAGTTTCAATACTCACATTGTACATGTGCTTGAAGTTCAAGTGAGCTTAGGGAGCTTCTGGATAACCCAAGAGGTATATAACCATATGAGCTCCCCAGCATCCCATGGTATCATTCACAACACAACTCTCTCATCTTTCTTTTCAACATAAACTAATTACAACCTCTCAACTACCAACTCAAACCTTCATCATGCTTCTCAACAAGGCTTTCCTCGGCGCTCTTCTCGCCATGGGCACAGTCACCGCCCTCCCCAACCCCGACGCTGAGCCGGCTGATCTCGAGGATCGCAGCATCCTTCACCACTGCGGCAAGCACGCTTCCTGGGATCACGCCAAGAGCGAGTGTGTGTGCCACGACTCCGGCAAGGTCTACACCAAGAAGCACCACAAGTGCAAGTGCCCCAAGGGCGAGAAGTGGCACCACATTGAGAAGAAGTGCAAGAAATAAACGCCTGCACTAGGCATCCCTTTGAACGATCACAACAAGACCGCCTCGCTTGACATTCACCACAAAGTCTTCATATATACTCGGCCGAACTATATCGTATGGGCTGACAACTGGATCATTGGCTTTAAGGATTGGCGATGCGGCATGGTTGGCAGAAGGATCTTGGAAAGGGCATTATCTTATGTAACTTTAGTGTTCATGTATCGTGTCAAGAAACTTATACCTTAAATCAAGGCTGATTGAGCTTCTGCGTCTTATTGCTTTATTTGCTTTGTCTTCAGGCTGAATAGCAATTATTTCTCATCCTCATGATGCCGAAGAGCCGTGCTACTGCATACTATGACCGAATATCAGCATCAAAAGCGTCTTAGTGCCATGAAATCATCAAGTCGGTCCGAATAACACAATTGATAAAAGATCTCAAGCTTAAGTCAAGAAAGTCTGGGGACCCCAGATTTTATTTCATTTGCAGGTTCTCATTCTTCAATATCTGACATGAAGGTCGTTACCGCTCATTTCGTTGCCGCTCTATTATCCTCCAGCGTGTTAGCATCAACATGTGTATGTGCCTTGGGGGCAAACATGATAATATTATAATAGCTGACAGCTCCAGTGTCATCAATTGAAGGGGAGTCTCGGCGACAAAATCAGCTTTCCTGATACCAAAAGCTACAACGCCACGTTAACTAGCTACTGGTCGAAACAAGAGTCTGCGCTTCACCCCAGTTGCGTCCTGCAGCCTACCACCGCCCACGATGTTGCCGCTGCCTTGAGGATAATCAGCACACAGAAAGATTGCAAATTCTCAATCAAGAGTCATGGTCATGCTCCTGCAGCAGGCTTCGCCAACTCCAACAGCGGCGTGACCATTGACATGACAACTCTCTCATCCGTGTCTCTGGACAAGAGGTCAACCATTGCAAGCATCGGCGCAGGCGCAAAGTGGCTTGACGTCTATCAGCATCTTGACGGCTCAGGTGTTCAAGTCGCCGGAGGTCGAAACGGAAATGTCGGTGTTGGAGGCTTGCTCCTTGGTGGAGGAATATCGCATTTCACTACCAAAGTCGGATGGGCTTGTGATAGGGTGGTCAACTACGAGGTTGTACTCGCTAATGGCACTCTGATCAATACAAATAAGAAAGAGAACTCAGACCTGTTCCTCGCTTTGAAAGGAGGGGGCAACAATTTTGGAGTTGTTAGCCGCTTCGACATTGAAACATTTCCGCAGGGCGACATATCTACAACAAGCATCTCCTACAATATTACTGAGAGGGGGAGGGTCTTCCAGGCTTTTACAGACTTACTTGATTCATCGACATACGATCCCGACGCGTCCTTGGTTGCCAGTCTTCTCTACAGCTCAGCATCCAAAGGCTGGTCACTGTCAGCATCGGCTGTATACACGAAGCCCGTTTCCCAGCCAAAGATCTTCAAGGGTCTTTCAGATGTGCCTCACACGAAGCTGGTCAATAATATCACGACATTGGCAGAGTTCGCGAATGAGAAGGATACGCCGCCTTTGTGAGTTCCAACGTTGAGCTTGATTGAACGGGCTCTGACAGATCTAGGAACTGGGTTTTTGCGACATTGACTCTGAAGCCATCCGCACAAAATATGCAGCATATGTTTGAGACCCTCAACAACACTATCTATTCATTCAACCCACAGGACGGCGTGACATGGAGTATCGCCTTTGAGCCGTTGGTAGCAGCGATGCTGGAAGGTTCTAAGCACACCAATGTCCTCGGCCTTAAAACAGCCCATGATGGCTACAGTAAGTATCCATTGAATCATCCCATGAACATCTGCTAACAATGATAGTTGTTCTTATCTCAGCGCTGTGGCCGAACTCGGCTGTTAACTCAAACATTGAAGCAAAGACCAAGGAGGTTCTGTCAGTATGGGAAGAGGATGCTCGTGCAAAGGGACTGCTACAGAAGTTCCAGTACCTCAACTACGCTGCGCCATACCAAAAGCCGTTTGAGTCATACGGAGCTGATGAGCTGGAATTTCTCAGGTCGGTCAGCAAAAGGTATGACCCTGCTCAAATCTTGCAGAAGAGAGTTGGTGGCTTCAAGCTCTGAGCCCAATGAGAAGGTCGCACCCCAAAAGGATATCGAGAGCAGCGACAGCACTCGTGATTCAGTGTGTAGAAAAAGCATAGGGAGACAAGCTGTCAAGGCTTCCAAGCAAAGAGTCTAGTGTACATTTCGTGTATCTCATGTATCTCGATTTACTAGGTATCACATCTAGCTAACATCACATCCTAATCCCTCGACGCCTTCGCCTTCAATCCAAACGCACCAAAAAGCATCATGAAAACGTAAACAATCATCATATACAGACCTTCACCGATGTAACAAACCGCCGCAACGGGGTCGCCAGCGCCTCTTCTAACTGCGCCAAACATCCACTTTGCATCCTTCTTCGCTTCGCCAACAGCCCATGTCAAAGGTGACGGCTTAGCAGGTCTCTCCTTGATCTTGGGTCTTGAGCCAGGGAAATCAGCGACACCTTTCCTCTTCCCTTCGAGATCTTTGAGAGTGAGGGTGTGATTCTCGTGCTGGCGGTTGCGGACGCTTTCCTTTGTGAGCATACCTCGGATGGTCTCTTTTTCGGAGGCCGTGTTGTGGTTCCACCATTCTTCGACGGCGGTGAACATGTATTTCTGGATGGGTGTTTTGTGGCGTGGGAAGGCGGGATGATGCATGATTGTGAGGATCTGGCGGATTGTTTCTTCTTCGTTGCGGAATGGATCATCCCAGCATTTGACGACCTGTTGCGTTGTCCAGTTTGTCGTGACGGAGGAGACGAGACCAGCAGGCTGGTTGAGGACGTTGCTGAAGTGATCCTTTGAGATGTCCGAATGGCTCGGATCAGACCCGTCGCCATCGAGGTAGACTTCGGCAGAAGTCGACTTCGCAGCTTCAGCATCAACACGTTCTTTCGCTGCCTTGAGCGCATTGCGCAACTGCATGATAGAGCTCTCAATCATGAGCGACAGGTACTTGAAGACAAGCTGGTCCGTGTATTTGCCCAACTGCGTGCTCGACTCCTCCGACAGCGGGTCAGCATCATGCTGTTCCGTGCGTTCTTGTATCCATTTCTTGATTCGATCGTGGAGGTAGAAGATCGGTTCGATGGTCTGCCAAAGCTGATTGGCGTCGAGGCTGCTCGCGGCGGTTGAGCTTTGTTTTTCTTCTTCGGCTTTCTTGAAGAGCACGCCGACGGTCTCGAGCTGTTGGAGAATCGGGTCGTTCGTCTTGGAGGCTAGTTTGCTTATCGCTTGTATCGCGGCTTTGAGTAGGTCGAAGATATGCTGGAAGGCGATTTCACCGAGGTTCAGTTCCTGTTGGCTGTCAGCGTGGGCATGTGAAGGGAGGGGTCGGCGGCTTGCGCACGTTCTCGAGATTCTGCAGTGAGCCTTTGCACTGGAGGATGGCCATGTCGTCGGCTTCACCAAGAATACTGTGAAAGATGTCGAGCATTCCGAAAGTGCCAGTGACGATGGGCGGTACCATGCGACTTCTCCATCGTGGCGTCTTGACGCGACAGGCTTCGCCGACAAAGGCAAAGACGTCGTGCTCGCCAAGTTCATGTAGGCAGAGTTCCGTAAAGTTGCTATGCGCCGAAAAGTCTTCGAGGGTATGAAGCGCAGCGCCAAGATGAATGAAAGCTTCCTTCTTCGACTTTGGATCCTTCTCGCGCCCAAGTCGAATGCATTCGCGTAGCTCTCGCGTGACGTAATCAGCAGAAGTATCCCAGCCTTTGCCCGAGTTTGCGATGTAATTCTTCATGCCCGTCTTGGGGTCAAACTCGAGTTCGCGTGGATCCAAAGGCCCTCTCAACCTTTCGTCAATCTCCTTGGCATTACTCGGGTATCCCTTGGGGTTGTCGATATGCTCCACATGAGTGTAACATCCCAAGCGCTCGCGCGTCACCTCGAACTCGTCGGTCGCGAAGCCAAACTCCAGAAACCCCATGATGCTGACAATAGCTCTGAGAACAGGTTCCGGAACATTATCAAGGCCTGTTGTATCGATTATTTGCGAAAAGTCTCGTAGCCAGTTCCCAAAGTAAATTTGTCGTCGCTCGAGAGTTGAAAATCTGTAGTGCGTCACGAAACTCGCCGGGAGGTACCGAAGGGCTTCGACGATGTCGCCATGACGCCAGACGTAACCGTTGAATTCGCTAGTGCCTGCTACTTCACCTGCTCCAAAGGCTGAGACGCGGTCGGCGAAAAGGAGGCATACGAAGGCGACGAGAAGAAGTCGTGTTGCCAATGCCATTTCGACGGAATGAGATGTGACGTCATAAATGCATTCAAGATTGACAAAAAGGAAGGATCAGCGTCGTCGATGTCTTGGTAAGGTTTTGCTTCCGGATTATTATAGCTCCGCACCGATTCGTCAATCACGAGCATGAATCATGGGGGCCGCTTCATACACTAACGGAAATAAACAGAAATGCTGCCAGTGATAGCTCCAATATTACGTCGGTGATTACACAAGGCTATTGTCAATTATGCACTTCATCACAGTCTATAGTTGCCTTCTACAGCTTTGCACTCGCTGATAAAGTGAAGAGATTTCGGCCGTCATCAGCCCTGTTCACACGACCCTTCATACCAATCGGCTCTCCGTTAGTACTCGCAAGAGTCGCCAATGTATGCTCATCACCATGGTTTGCAATGAATCTCTGTCCATTCTCAACCAGTCTTCCAATTACATGGCCGAGCTTGGGTCCCTTTCGATCATAGTCCACAGTATAAGTCTATAACCACGTAACACGTTAGATAGATGCAAATGATTGGAGCATGGCACAAACCTCAATTACAGCTTCGCCTTGCGCTGTTGGGGTAAACGCTGGACCTTGAGAAACATCACCATTGTCAAGAACTTCTCTTTTCAGATAAGTGGAGTTATTGCGCCGCGACTGAGCCGACAAACACAGAGCATGTTGCCAGGATAGAACTCCTCCGTTCGCAAGCACCAAGCCGGTTTGATGCTTTCGGCTTCGAATGACTCTTGTCATCTCCGCGATTGCCTGTCCAGAAACCTTAGATCATGATCCTCAGAGCACGAGAGAGCTTACGTGAAGAGAGTAGTTGTTGCCTGCACCGCCAAAGGAAGTAAGGCCACCAAGTAAAGTGATAGGCTTGGCTGGCTTCTGAACATCGAGACCGACATGCTTACAAGCAAGTTTCGGGACGATGGGAAAGCACCTATCATCATGTGAGTTCCACCTCAATGCCCATTTTTCTTGAACTCACGAGTAGAAGTCGAAGCAGTCGATCTCGTTCTTAGTGAGCGCAGCGGATTCGAGAGCCTTGTCGATGGAGTACTCGATAGCAGGGCTCGAGAAGTAGTTGGCTCGCTCCCAAACTAGACCAAACATCAGCAATCACCTCATTTGGGGGGGAAATGTCGACTGACAATGTGAACTATCATTCGAGCCAGCGCCGCCAGTGATGTACACCCATCTATCCTGGGGGACGCCTAGCTTGGTAGCATACTCAGCAGAAGTGATGATACAGGCCGCCGCCAAGTTTACACCATTAAAGGCATTCATCAACAATGGGTCTAAATAGTTAGCTGATAGCCAGAGTCCATGGCGACCATACATACAAGGTGTGCAGATCATCCGATTCTGCTTGGTTATCGTCTTAATAGCATCGACGTCTCGTGGTGTTTCGCCTGCTCTCCAACTGATCGGATGTTGACAGGCAATCTTGTCAAATTCGGCGTAAAGGGCTGCTGATTCATGATGATTCTCATGGAATGTCTGCTGGTTATGCTTTCTGTATGCGTTTTCGTATAGAGGGTATACTTGAATTGGCATTCCGATGGAGTGCGAGGCACCGACATCTTCATCCTATCAGACAGTCTCTAATAAGATTTGAGTTAAGGCTCACCTTTCAAGAGTGCAGGGTCACTCGGGCCATATAATTTTGCATCAGGGGACATCTCAGTCCATCCCGGTGGAGGAAGACGTCCAGCTTTCTGACACGCAAACACTGGCGCACATCAGCTAAAGGCTCTTCCATCCCAATCTCACATCAACTTACATGATGCTAACGCCTCTCCTCCTGTAACAACAGCTAATTTCGTTTCTCCAGCCGCCACTCTGGCGGCTGCTGCGTCGCACAGCAACGCAGGCGTATGACCTCCATGACTCGAGAGCTCAAGATGCGAAGGGTGAACGCCAAGTTTCTGGGCAAGATGCTTTGGTAGATCATCATATGTCCAAGACCACGGGGGAACAACAGAAATACTGTCTACATGGTTGATAACATCGACAGTTGTATCTTTTGCTGCATCGCGAATTGCTGATAAGATAAGCTCTGCTGGTTCGAGAGTATTTTCGAGGGTGAACTTCTTTTGGCGGATTTCTCCGACACCGATAATAATCGGGTCTTGAGGGGATGGAGACATGATGTCAATATTGCTTACTGAAAGTTGAAAAATAATATCACTGTATTTCACAATCGGTCTGCGTGATGCTGCTCGGTGTTTATTGCTGTATTCGGAGTTATGAGGGGTATTTTTAGCCTCGGCATCACACGGACCTTGCAAGTCTTACTCAGCGGGATCATGAGCATGAGGGATCGCCAAAGAAGCCCTCTTCCTCGGCCTGTTGTTTATTCTCCGTCTGCTCTTAGGTCATTAGAATATTTGTAAGAGAAAATCATGAAATTGGGCTACCCATACAATATTGCTGCGATGATGGAGACAGCCGAGCTAAGAACATCTCGGACACTGTCAATAGCCGAACGCCGCAAACATCGTATTTCATGACTCAGAAAGGACTTGGCATGATACGATGGCTTCAAAAGGTGTTCATAAGACACGTTCTGCCCGTTAGAAGATGAGAATGAAATAGCACATCTAGTACTCTTTCTCTCAGTATGACGTCAAGCCCGCCATCACTCATCGAAGTCGACAGCCTCGACGTTCATGTCTTGATCAATGATGAGATTGATCAAATCTCGCCGAGCCCAAACCCGCGGGTTCAGCATGCCCAATCCTTCGCCGGTGTCCCATTGAGCCCCGTGTCTGACCCCAGCTCTCGAGGAGGAGCTCGGTTGGAAATGCCAATGCGAAATATCTGTTGCGGCGCTCATGGCCTGTCCTTGTTTATCGTGAGATTGTCCTCTCTACTGCCAGTACCGTGTACTAAACCCTTGACAGACAGCGAAGAGGGACGATAAGTCTCACACGCTGCTTTTCGATGCCGGACCCGAGGAAGACGTTTTCGAGAAAAACGTCCAGAGACTCAAGCTCCCAATGACTGACATAGGTGCTATTGTTCTTTCGCATTGGCATAGAGATCACTCTGGTGGGCTTCTCTCGGCGATTCGGCTCGCCAGCAGCGGGAGGTCAGATGGCGATCAGGTCATTGTTGCGATTCCTCCAGATAAGCCAACATTCAGAGGAATTATGTTCGATCAACCTATATCGCTAGAGGCAGACCCTACTGTGGATGAGGTCAATAGTGCCGGTGGCAAGACAGTTGTCTTGGATGAGGCACGGACCATTCTAGATGATGTCTTTCTCATATCTGGAGAGATTCCGCGCCAGACAGAGTATGAAGGTGGCATCCCAGGTGGTGTTCGATATGACCCGGCCAAGGATGAATGGATCAAGGACGAGTTGATCATGGAAGAGCGGTTTGTCATGTGTAAGCTCAAAGGTAAGTCCCTCTCATCTCTCAATCAATCACCGTATCTAACGTCTTCGCAGGCAAGGGCCTGGTCATCTTCACTGGCTGCAGTCACGCCGGCCTCATTAACATTGCCAGGCATGCTAAAACCATCGACGACAGCCCTATCTACGCCATCGTTGGCGGCTACCACCTCGCAGATGCGTCGCCTGATAAGATGGAGCAGAGCATGAAGGATCTCAAGGATCTCAAGCCGGCTTTGCTGATGCCAGGACATTGTACTGGATGGAGGTTTAAGGGACTTATTGAGAAGGAAATGCCAGGTCAGATGGCTCCGATTTTTGGCGGAACGAAGTATACACTGTAAACGAACATCTTTCATCCTTTTTGGTCTTGAAAAATGTGCTAGATATCTCGGCGGGGATGGTCAATGCTACTCTCGACGTGCTGGGTAGCTAAATGGTTCAACGGTTCAATGAACACATGGCCATTTGATCGCCTAACAAACCGTGAGTGCATCTTCCATTCGGTCTCAGTTCAGTTTCCGTACACTTGAATCTTGATCCTCTTCGCCCCGTTTCGGGATGTAACGTCAAACAAGAACAGGGAGGGGTTCCCCGCAGGTAAAATACCCCATGCGTCGGTGATCGACATACCTTAACGCAAAATCAAGATGCGCACCTATTAGCAATTGAATCTGTGATCGTATGTTAGCTCGTGAGGTAGCCGCACCTATCGAATCGTGAGTATGGTGTCATGAGTTTCCATTCTCGTCCCGTCTGCATCTAAGACCCAAAAGTTCAATGGGTAAAAGCCTGGAATCCGGGTTGAATACGCGCTTTCATGGACAGAGCGAGTATAAGAGTGATAAAACTTTCCTCGGGATGCTTCTCGGCGTGCATTGATTATTCTCCTCTCGTCATCAATATGGCTTCCCTTGTATTTGCCGCGCTTCTTGCCAGCGCATCTGGCAAGACCGTCAAATCTCCCACTCCACCAATGGGATGGAATAGCTACAATCACTACAATTGCCGGCCGTCCGAGGACATCATCAAAATTAATGCTAAAGGGTTGGTTGATCTTGGTTTCAAGGATCTCGGCTACAGCATCGTCACCGTCGACTGCGGATGGCCTTCGCGAGACCGAGATAGCAAAGGAAGACTACAATGGAATGAGACTCTGTTCCCGTCGGGTCCTAAAGCTCTTGGAGAGTATATCCATGATCTGGGTCTAGAGTTTGGTCTTTACTCGGGAGCTGGATATTTACAGTGCGGTTCAACTGACATTCCTGCTTCTCTTGGTATGCGCATCGTACAGCTGGTCATAAACTCTTCAGTGCACTAACTGGCTACGATAGACTACGAGGAGATTGACGCAAAGTCATTTGCCGAATGGGGAGGCGACACCCTCAAGTAAGACTACCTCTCACTTCCGAATTCGCGTCTACTGACAATCTCCAGATACGACAACTGTTACGCGACATCCAAGACCAACATGGTCGACGCCGACTCAGCTGAGGCAAAGAGCCCCAACCGCTTCATCAAGATGGCTGCGGCTATCAATGAGACTGAACGCGACATCAAGTACTTCCTCTGCCAATGGGGTATTGGTGAAGATGTTCCTCAATGGTAGGTTGTCACAGCAAATTGCAGTTCTTCTTCTGACAAGAATCAGGGCTGCTCCTCTAGGCAACTCATGGCGAATGAGTAATGATATTTTCAATGCCTGGAGAGCAATCTGGCGCATTACTAACCAGGTTGTCGCTCACGCCAAATACAATGGGCCAGGCGCTTTTGCTGATATGGACATGTTAATGTGAGCTACGACGCTAACCCTTCTCTACATCTACTAACCACTGTAGCATCGGTCTTGGTGCACTTTCACACGATGAAGAACGTTTCCACTTCGGCTTCTGGTCCATGATGAAATCTCCCCTCATCATCGGCGGCGTAATGGACGCCAAGCAAATACCTGCCGAATCTCTCGAGATTATGTCCAACAAAGAAGTCATCGCCATCAATCAAGATCCTCTAGCAGAAGCAGCGAAGCTCGTTATCCGATATACCGAGGAAGAGTGGGATATCTGGGCTGGGAACCTCTCTTCTAACCGCAAAGTCCTCGGCGTTTTGAACTGGAAGAACGAGACCCAGACAGTGAAGGTCGATCTGTCGCTGATTGGGGTTGACAAGGCGGCGGCACGAGACGTATGGGCTCATGAGGATCTTAGCATCTCGGGTATCCAGGAATTTAAACTTGCGCCTCATGAGTTACGACAGCTTGTCTTGTCCGACATCAGTCCGGCTTCACCTCCCAAGGCCGCGGGTTACTATTCAGCTCAAGACGCGACTCTCTCGGGTTCAGCTTCTCTCGTCAACTGCAAAGACACAGAATGTCTTCCAACTCACAAAAAAGTCGGATCCATCGGCAAAGATGCTAAAGTGGCCTTCAAGTCAGTCAGTGCACCCAAGGACGGTTCAGTCTATCTTGGCATCGATTACATCAATCATGAGTACCATCACACGATCGGCGATTGGGAGACAAACTCCCGGAACATGTCAATCTCGGTCAACGGAGAAGATGCAAAGCGATGGGCGTTCCCGAATGCTGGAGGCGATTGGTTCGAGAGCGACCGGCTCACAATTCTTGTTGATGGGTTCAAGAAGGGAGATAGCAACGAAGTGACCTTTACTGCGTCGGCTTCGGGCAATTGGGCGCCTGATCTGGTTGGATTCGAGGTTCTGGAATAGTCGAGAGGACCGCATCATAGCAGCCATATGTTTTGACACATAGAAGCAAACTTCGGGGCTTACATATACTTAAAAAGCTGTTTCCAGTGATCCTGCATTGCTTTGTGTCTCACAAGGATGATGTCCTGTCCTTCTGGTCCAGATGATCCCTGTCGGGTTTAGCTCCGATGGCGGGACATCATTTTGAGTAGAATACCCTGCAGTTGAGCAGCGAAGTAAAAAGAAATCGGGCCTTGTACTAGAGAAAAATGCTTTAGCTTACAATGGAAAACTAAAGAAGGAGAATAACTGCCCTTGAAGTACTTGTGACCTGTCTAATTAAGCGTGCTTTGCTTTAAATGGATGTTATGAAGTCGAAATTGATCTCGCATGCTCCGTTGATTGTGGTTAAATAAATCGCTATTGGGAAAAAACAGTACCTCGAATTAGATGCCGCAAAGGAACGATAACACACTGTCTCAGGATAAAACATTATTACAAGTCATTATTTGAATGTAGGCTATTTATAAAATGAGTAATTCTTGCGTGGATTACCTATGACGAATGGTTTACAAGGTCATTGTTATGGCTAAGTCTCGGGTAATTGTCGAATGACGCCCACTGCGGCAGAATGGCCTCAAATTGTTAAGCGAGACGGAACAAAACACAAAGATAAAATCCGTCAAAAATGCAAAAGGAAATCCCCGAAACCTGGATCGAACAAGTGACCTTTCGGTGAGATGTGTTATCAATTACAGCCGAACGCTCTTCCAGCTGAGCTATTCGGGGATTGTTGGTGAAGGGGCGCCGCAATTTGCCGAGATGTCGACAGCCGACACTGACGATCGCAGTATTCCATTCCTTTGATGCATGTTACTGTCGATAGCATTTCTATTTTGAGTGCGACTTGAGCGTATCAGGAGTGCATGTCAGTACCAAAGAGTTTCGATGTCAACAGAGCAAGACACCTGGCTCCCAATCCTGGCAAGGCCATTGCGCTAGACAGGCAGAACTGAACGCAAAAAGAATCATTGCATGGGCAAGAGTCACGATATGGGCAAATAAAAATAAGCAAAAAAAGATATAGCTAGCAGCTATCAGTTTCGATCTGATGACCTCCGGGTTATGAGCCCGGCTACGGGAATTGTTAGTGCATGTTCGAGATGGGAGGATGCGAAAGCACATACCGCGCTTCCACTGCGCCAAGCTGCTTTCTTGCGATGTTTTGCCGAGTTATTTTTGCGCTCTATCAAGGGTCTGGTTCCGCGTACCACTTTACAATCCGGCTTTACTGTCTTTTTGATTGCGGGGTCTCGCTTGCATTTAACAGTTCGTTTGTTAAACACATGCATTAAACTCGGGCAGAGAGCCGTTGTCTACAAAACCTTCAGTGGCATCCATGGAAGACGCGTGACGTTGTCTTCAAGGGTATTTTCAGCTCGCTTAGCACTGACCATCGTGACAGCTTCTTGAGACGAAACGATGTAACGATCTCATATGATCGGGCAACTTTCCGGACAAGGATTACCTGCCTGTCAATATCTTTCGGCCGATTCTCTTGAGCAATACCATTCCCCGGGAAAGATGCACCAGAAGGCCCTGACTAACCCCTCTCCTTAATCTGACGAGTTGCTCTAAATGGTGATAGCGAGTCAATGCGACTCGGAAGACTACTTGCGGAGGAGACGGGACCCCTTTTTCGGGAGCACGTGGGTTTTCTTGTTCAACGGCGCACGGCTGGGCTTGATACGAGTTACCCGATTATTACCGTTTGCGCTTGAGTCAGGACGATCCGAAGTCTTATGATTGCGGGTTTAGTGATCAGGAAATTCCGATGCTGCTCGCCGGAGAAAAGAATCCTGTAGTTCCTTTGGCGAACTTTTGTGCAGATTAGAGCGCTGACTCGGAGGCTTTTTAGCTCAAATAGTCTGGCTGACAGTTTGGCTGCATTATCGATTTTGAGTCAGGGCCAAGAACATCAAGACAAAAGGCCCTTGCAAGTAAGTAGACGGAAACGTCAATCACTTGGCTCGGAAAACATGATGCAAAATTTGAGAAATTGAAAATGGAGACAACAAACAAGAAATACCAAGCTATTATGTATTAGACACGAAAATGAAGCAACTGGTGACATATAAGAACCATATTAAATCATCGTCTTCCCCGAGGGGCCCCATAAAATGGATTTGGAGCTGAATGTCCAAGGGCCAAGGATTATCCGCCAACCGTTTCCCTCTTCCGCAACCGTCTACGCCCGTTCCCAGACAATTGAACGAGTCAGTCGAGGCACAAGCGACGACATTACTGAGATCTCGTTGGTAGATCGCCCTCATCCCTGTCTTGGTCTAGTTCCCCATTGAGACTTAGTCTAGAACGAATTTCATGCCAGGCCCCAGACTCAAAACTTTAGCCAAACTTTATTGACGAGCCAAAATGCGTGATTGTCTTTATGGAAGGAGATGTTTGATGGGAGATGAAGGGTTGGGGAATAGGGAGGATCGTCATGGATCTTTTGTATTATTGGTGGTTGCAGACGGGTGAGACAATGGAAAGAGATCATCGATTTGGGATCGTTAATGAGGCTCAGCCACATGTTCCAGACTGAGATACATACCAGCTGATCATGAATCGACCACCAAACCCTCTTCCCCAGCAATAGTCTCCTTCCCCAGTGACGGTAGTGGAACATCCTTCGCGCGTGTCAAACCTCAGCCCACCCCAGCCAAGCCTAACCACACGCAGACTGGCAAGGAACACAGACGGTTTAGCAGAAAACGCCATCTCCATGGTCCCCTGCCTCCAGTCCCTTTTAGACTCTGCCACGCTCTGCGCACGCACATAAGATCAGCGCAGCTGTCTCTCCCCCGTCCTGTCAGTGTCTCGCAAGTTGAGTCTTTCCCTTGGCTTGGCAGGCTGACTCGAACGACCATGGATTACTTCGAGGTATGCTGGTCGATCTTCAGCACCATTTGTCTCGTCAATGTTGTTTTTGGTATTTTGGTCTGTGAAATTACTACGTTTACTGTTTTAGCTGCCGTGCCGATCTTTTCGTCTGCGGCGGGAG